TTTTTTGATAAAAAAATTTAATAATGATAATTTGGATGTGAATTTCTTTGATCATTCAGGAGTGAATTAAAAACCATTAAATGTGAATATTACTCCGGAGCTTAATTATTTTTCATGAATTAATCAGCAAACATCAAAGGAAAAACTTGAGCTTTAATGACATGCTTTTCATTTTAAAACTTGACCACCGACTCTTTCATAATTGTATACAGCACAAGGGTAAATCAAATTAATTCAATGCATGCATTGGACAATATTAAGCTAGTATCGCAGCTTGTTGTACATTCAAATTCAATAGATGTCCATTGTTTATTAAATTAATTCGAAATTCAAACGATTGAACAATGCAAACTTCGAGGGTTGTTCCTACTCCAATTGTATGACAATTCATAATTCAATTCCAGCTGAATGATCAAATTAATTCTACGAATGCAAACTTTTTTTTAGAATAACTTGATGGAATTTAATAAATTAATACATTCTGTGATGATTGCTTGCTGCCCAACTGAAATAATTGCTACTGACTCATATTCGACTAAGAGATATCCTCTTATGCAATTAATTCAGTCAATCATTATTAATTATCTTTTTGAGGATAATATTCAGTAATTTTAAGAGGAGTTTCCACAAAATTAATTTCTTAATGATTTCTGTTCTTGGAACATCCAACACCAAGGCTATTAAGATGTAAATAATTTAGACTCTGCTGTGCTTAACTTAAAGAAACTTCTGAGAATACAAAATCAACGATTTTTGAAAAAATTTAAGAAATCATTAGGAAATGATAAATATGAAGTAGAACTAAAGGAAGTGCTATCATTTATGTTTCGGTTAACTCGACAAAGCTTGGCTAAAGCGATACAAACTACAGAGCTCGAAACGGTAAGGTTCAAGTTCAAACTATGTAAAATGATAAAAGCTTCATACGAATTCCATTTGCTAGAGCTTTCGTCACTTTTCTAGCTCTAAACCTTTTGTTTTCAATTCATTCAAATAAAAAATTGGATAATTAAACACGGCGCAGTCGGCAGGATCCAAACCTACGCTCCAAAGTCCAAGTCGATATACTCGTAAAGTTGTTTTCAATTCATTCAAATAAAAAAATTGGATAATTCAACACCTTTCAGTTCAAATTTTTTTATAAATCCTAAACAAAAATTAAGAATATTGTAAAGACTATTCAAAGGACCTCGATAGCTCTCGTCAAATAAAAAACTTTAAAAAATTCTATCAAGTTAATTCCCTCAAAAAAGTTGCTCTTCATTTTCATTTTCATAAATCACATTCGTTGTTAAAAGTTAAAAGCTTAAAAATAATTAAAAAGAAGCAGTTCAATACACACAAAAAAGAATTTGACACCAATATTTATTAAATTAAAATGTTCACAAATGTGTAAATTTCATTATTTTTTTTTATTGCCATAAAAATATTTTATTACAAAGTTAAAAAAAAATAATGTTTGTCACATCATAAAGTGTCGTACGCAACACGTATGTACTGAAATATGAATCGCAATATTTATGACGTTAAATTGGAAATTTTCCAATGACATAAGCAGATAGTACATAATATACTTGAAAAACTATATTAAGACAAATTTGTAACGACAACAGAGCAAAAATAATGTGAATTGTTTTTAAAGAGAACATTATAATCAATAATGCATATTAATGGAAAAAAAATCAAATTATTTAATTAATAATCAAAAAAAGTTTAAGATAATAAAGTCCCTTTATTCACAAAAAAAAGGAAGACTCATTATAAAGCATAAATCAATAAAAAGCGAAAAATTTATCTCAAAGTGAAAATCAATAATTTCTTATTTTAGTCTTTTGAGAGCTTTCAGACATTGTTGAATATTTTTTTTTTTTTGATGAATTTCTTTCTTTTAAGAGAGGTACTGACAGGGGTGCAGAGTAAAAAAAAGGAAGTTCGTTCGCTTATTACGTTACAAAATTTGGAAGAAATCCTAAACTCTATTAACCTAAAAAATCATCGCAAGCAATAGATTTGAACACCCAGTACCCCTTCTTTAAAATATGGATAATGCATCTAGGAAGGAAGCTTGGGGATGGATGTTAGATTTTATGAGTTCCAAAAAATTATTTTCTTTGTTTACGCTGTCACAGTCCTAAGTGAACGGCTCCTTACAAAACAAGTGCTTAAAGCTTTTGTATTTTATAATTCAATAAAATATCCTCGGTATTATAGTGGTGAGTATCTACACATCATATGATGCATTACTTACATAAATAAATTCTTACCTGTTCATCATTCTTCAAGAAGCTTACTGAATATTTTTTTAGAAACTGTTGCATAAGCCATTTGCATCGTCTGAAAATAAACAACAAACCCTTAAAGGAGTATTAGACGTAACTAAGCAGCATTTCTGAAAATTTTAATAGAATTATGTTTGTAAAATTTTCCATTCAGAAAAATCTATTTATATGAAAATCTTGTGGCTTTACAAAGGTAAGTGAAGAGATTATTTGTAGAATACCAACCTTCTACGTCCTACTAAGAACTAAAAGTTTGAAATTTCCATTTACCTTCATCCTCAAATGAATTTTTAAACATTTTCTCATCATATGACAGAATGTTCATCTCTATTTCTATTTTTATACATTTTTCTCGCCTTAGACACGCTGTTACTTTTTATTTACAGTCATATTTAGATGTAATAAGATCTGCATATGATGTTCATAGCATGTATGATTTGTAAATGTGAGATGAATTTTTTTGCAGACTCTACATCACGAGAAAATGTCAAAAACACTAACTTAGCACTGTTGGAATATTTATGAGCCGCTGTGAATAACTCAAGCAGGAATTTTGTACGAACTTGCAGAATATTGAGCATGTTTTGAATAGGATGATTAGGTAGCTATTTTAGGGGGTTGTGCTTTCACAAAAATTTAGATCAGATTCACTAAATGGGTACAAGGATAATAGTTCGTACATTTTGCTACGCTTTAATCATCAAAAATCAATTCCCTGATTTTCAAAACTTTCTGTAATTAATTAGGATAATCCAAACAAAAAATTCAAATATTTAAGTTATAAACAATTTTTTGATAATTTGTTTTTTCAGCATTAAAATAATTTTATGCAATCAATCATTGTCTTTCATTTAATGACTCAACATTTTTTTTTATTAAAGAATATAAAAGAAATTATTCTCGTATTAAAGGTATTCAAAAAAAAATTTATGTTTGTAAATAAACGCCATACAACGTAAGTTTTCTTCATTTTTCTTTTTTGTTTTGTTTGAAAGTGCAACTTTCTTAGTTTCTAAATAAATATTTGCAAAACAAAATTAATTAGCTCCACACAGAGCAACTAAAACAGGTCATTTTTTGTAATTTCTAGAAATAAGAATAAAAAGTATTACAAAACTATTTAATTTCTTCTCAATTTATATTACAAAAAAAAAATGTTTTAGTTGAACGATTAAAAGCTGATTTAATTAATTAATTTTCATTGAATTATGACTTTTTTATTCAATAATATAAAATTATAGCTAACTTAATGTACAATAAGGTTGAAAGAATGTCATAAATTTCTTCTAGACTAAGGTGACGCAACAAAACAATTTCAAAAAGATGCAAAATTTTCGCGTCATAATTCAAAAACATTGCAAAGGTCTCGCATCAAAATTCAAAAAGATGCAAACGTTTTGTGTCATATTGTGAAGATGCCAAACCATTTGCTTCAGTGAAAATGACGCAAAACTTTTTTGCATCTCAATTTTTTTTAAAATATCAAAAACCGTTAAATCTGCTTAGTTCACCTACATCCAGTTCAAAAAATGACTTCAATATAAATAAATAATAATAAAAAGAACGCAAATCTTCAAAATATGCCACTTTTCACTTTAACGAAATATGCAATAATAATTTATTTTTCAATGAATGATCAATATATGTGCAAATACATACGATTTCGTGTATTTTATTATTATTATTCCCTCATGTGTATTTTATTTTGTTTTTTTCCTTCATTTCTTCACGTTGTACATGCTGAATGTTTTTGAATTTCTTTTCAGAATGCTGACAACATTTTTTTAGGGCATTTATGGCATTTTATGTCAAATTTCTTCTTTGTCTTCATTTTCTTCGCATATGTATTATTCTTATTTTTAATTCAGCAATACGCTTTAGCGTTAAAAAGGAATAGAATCATTGTAAAAAAAATACAGATTGAACATGGAATGGACCATGAATGAGAAAATCAAGGCTCTAGCTATTTGAATTCTTTTAACTACGATATAAGTATTGATATTGTGGCTAGATTGATCTTAATTTAATAGCATTTAATAATCTTTAGTTTTGATTCAGTCTAATGGATATCAATAGCCATAAATGACATGAATATGAGCAGGTTATTAGCAAATTGGCTTTCTTGCTTGTAATAAAGAAGATTTAATTAATTTTGAGATCATTGCCTTTTTTAATTCTGATTTTCGCAAGCAGCAAATATGAAGCTGATCAAATTGTTTGAAAAGCTTTTTGCTAGTGCTTTAAGGAACCGAGAACAACTATCTGAAAATTTGTGGAATTGCCATCGATTTTCAGCTGAAATCTGCATGTGGTTCAAGTTCAACTGTTAGTCCTTAATTCTAGGTACTAGATTGAACGTTGATTTGAATCTTTAGCAGATTTTCGATTTTCAGAAGCTGTTACTGAACAGTTTCTTTGGTATTATCGTTGATGCTGCTCAACATTCTTTAAACGTCATTGATTTTAATTCTGCTCATCTTGAATAAGTCCAAAATCCGGAATTTATCCATAGAAACAAAACAATTCTTATCCATGACTCACCCGAGACTAATTAATAACCAGCTCACACAAATTTCATATCACTCAAGCACTTGAGAATCGCTACATTTCCATCATATATAAATCTGAACGCTATTTTCTGCTGATAATAAATTAACGTTAAGTACAATTTTTATGATAAATCAAGAATGTATAAAAAAACAAAGTATTGCTGATGATAATAATCATGAAATTTTCACGCGATAATTTTTGAGGAAATTAATTCAATATCAAACACAGGGCAGGGAAAAATATTCGTTAAGGCAGTTTTTGATTGATTTTTTTCTTCTTCGATAATTCCACTTAAAAGAGTTTTTTTAATTATATTATTATCTACCTGATAAAAATGTTCACATTCTCATAATAATTTATTTGAAATTACATTCACACCTACGTACACAATTACTAAAATGTCGTTAAGCAGAACTGATTGTTCCTTTTGTTGTTGTTGTTAAAATGATATTTCTTATTGTTGTTTCAATTAAATTACTAGTGATCGCTGCACATTTCAAAGAATTTCTGCGTTACATCCTCAATTGTAGCGTCACCATTTAATTCAATGTATGTTGGTTTCTAAGGAAATTTACAGATTCATTAATCAGTATGCAAATGCCAATAAATAAACAGTCAGTGTTATTTACCCTTTTCTCATCTAGTCTCATCACTCTCCATTCATCAAGAATATCACAAAATTTAATAAAATTATCATTATCGTTTGTTTGCTCATAAACATGCAGCAATCCACGGTAATCATACTCTAATCCTGAATATGTTTGGCCAAATAATCGCAAGCCTGTAAATTAATAATATTTCAAAAACTATTTACAACTTGATAAGATAATCAACAAAACTTACTGATATCAATACTTTTTAAGTACAGTTCCTCCGCTTGACGATACTTTTTCATATGATAATTGTACAATGAGGCTAAATGTCCAATACTTAAGCCAACTTCATAGTCATATTCTCCTAAAAGATCACGTTTAATTTTTATTGCACGCTGATGCATATCCTCTGCGTCATTATAGCGCATCATCGACTGATAAAGTCTCCCAAGATTTCCATAATGTTTCGCTGTTTGTACATTAACTTCACCAAATGCTTCTAAAGATAAATGCAGTGCTGATTGATGTAAATCTTCAGATTCCTTCAATAATCCTTTATAGTCTGTCGTGTCAGGCGGTATCATATGATCAAGTGCAATCTCTTCAAGTATTAATGCTTTCACACGTTTTGCGGAAGCCAACATTAAGTTGTTTGATGGAGCTAATTTCATCATTATGTCTATTGCTTTTTCTACATAAATACATGCTGAATTAAAATTACCACGTGAATATTCATAAACATAAAGTGCATAAGCCAAATCTTCATGTATCACAGCAACATTAAGGTTTCTCTCGCCAAATATACTCGTTTTTATCTGCAGTGCTTCCTGTAATTACATCATAAATATAAAGTTAAATAAGTTGAAATATTTAACGGATTTTAAAAATTTAAACCATACAATTACTAAATCAAAACCACACAAATGTTTTAAAATGTATGGAAATTGTATGGTTTTAGAGCACTTTTACGATTTTTAAGCATTAAAAATAGCTTGTTTCTACAAATCCAATATTTAAGACATTCATGAGGCATTTTTATGCACAAATAAAAGATAAAAATTCTTTAAATGTTTGAAAAAATTTCAAACAATGAATTTAGCCTCGAAAAAATCCCCAAACCCGGCAGAGAAGAAAGATAACGATCAACTTTTGTAAATACATCCAGTTTGAATGGATGTATAAACAATGAAATATTAATATTAATTTTCTTTACCATATATACTTCAACGCTTTGATTGATTGAGTCAACATTGAGGAGAAAGAATCCCTTATCGAGCAATGCATCCGCGTAGACATTATGATGTGTACCAAAAGTATTTCTGTAAGACAAGATAATAAAAAGGTTGTTATGCATACGAGTCTTATGGATTATAATGATGCACACTTACTCAGCAATCCGAACTGCACTATTGATAAGAAGATTGGCAACCTGAAATTTTCTTTTGACGACACAACTCTTAGCCGCCTGACGAAGCACATCAATGATAATCTTTTGTGGTGTATCTTGAGATAAGTATTTGAGTGCCTTTACTGCCCACTTATAACTTGTATCAAACTCGGAACGACTAAAGTGCAGCATTGATAACTCATTGTAAAAATTGGCCAAGAGATTATTCGGAATACCAGATGTCAGATTTCTATTATCATCTATCATTATTTGACCAGAATTAGACATGCATTGTATTTGTTCAATAAGACTAAGCGCTTGAGAGGTTGTTATGGAAGCATCTTTATAGCAACAGAACAATGCTTGAGCGTGCAGGAGTTTTTGAAGGCAGTTAAGTAATAATAACAACTTCCGATAATCATCATTTAATTCCTGAATAAGATTCCGCGTAATTTGTAAAACTTTTAAGCTATCCTCGAACCATCCGCATTCATACAGAAATGTTCCTAATCTCATTCCTTTATCAATTTCCTTAAAATAATTACGGCTTGAATTTATATTTAAAAATAGTACGTCATTCGTCGTATCTCCTCGATCCTCAAGTTGATCATCAACAAGTGATACCAGTTTCTCATTGTTCTGATAAATTATTTGATCAGTCAGAAGGAATTTTGTACGTTGAACATATTTTCGCTGTAGTTCTGACGCTAAAGGTTTATCGTTCTTCATCATCAGCTAAAAATAGTGTAAAAAAAATAAATGAATTTAAATATATTGAAAAAACTTTAATGTTTGATTATATTTTCGCAGAAAAAAAAACTCATGTGGCGTTGAACGAGTATTGTTCATGCCCGAGACTAAATAATAATATTGAAAAGAAGAAAAAATGTTTTATGAGTTCATTAACATGAATGATAAAATACATTTTTTTAGAAATAAAACATTTTCTGAAGCACAAAACAAAAGAAACTAGTCGGAATGTTAATTTTTAGATTGGCTGCAAAAACGCATTTCCTGTGTGATAATTGAATGGATAGACGACAATTATGTGCTCTAAAAATATTGTTAATTGATTAAGTTTTCATGATGAATTTAACAGACATTGAAAATTTAAATATTTCAATGGTTTTAATTCATAAAACCGTATAAATGTTCTTTAGGCCATGTTAAAACCACACACATTAATTTTAAAACCATACAAATGATATCAAGACTTCAATAAAATCCTTACAAATGCAAACGTTTGTGTCCAAAAACCACACAAATTCTAAAACCTCTCAAATGTTTCAAATTTTAAAGCAACAAAGCTTGTCCAAACGATTTGCATGGCAATAACATCCAATCACAAAGTGAAAAGAAACAATAAAAGCTCATTCAAAGAAATGACTTTAAAATACATATTATCTTCATCATATGTTCATGTTGCATCAGCTGTTTGCTTCACTTACCTTGAACACTTTATACATATTGTTTCGTATTGATGAATATCGTATGAGTTTACAAAATAAACTAACGTCACTTAATTCCGCCAGCAAGGCATCTTGTAAGAGATAATTTTCAGCCATCTAAACAAGTCACACGAGAAAGAAATAGTTCACATTAGATTTATATGTTTTATACTTTAAATAAAAACTAGTCGGTTCATGTAGATATGGCGAAAAAATGTAAGAATTGCATATATGCATTTTATATAGCACAAGACACTTTCATCTGACTCGACTTATTCTCAATCTCTTCTCTCTTTGTGATTCTCATTTCTTCTTTTCACTTCTTTCGCTTTTATTTTGGCTTTTTTTAGCACATTTTCCAGAAGGGAAAGTATGCTTATTTTAGCATTTTGCCTGCCTGACTGCTCATCACAAATTAGTCATAAAATTGCGAAATTAATTCCGAGTATTTTAAATGATGGAACTGTTGACATTTTAGAGATACATAGCATGAAAATGGTAATGCTTTAATGTACGGAAATATTTGTGTATACATTCGGCAACTAGCCTTGTGCAGACATCCTTGAATATGAAGGTAAGGAAACAAGGAATTTGTACAAATGCGCTCTAGGACTTTTCAACTGGATATAAACTATCCGTCCAATTGCAACAACAAGGAATCAAGGTTTTTAAATGAAAAATGAAAGTTTTGTCGAATGCTTTTTCTTTTCTGCGTTGTTGTCTCTCGTCTTCTCGCTTTTTATATCATTATTGTGTGTATTATATTCACATAGGTCGTCTCTTTTTGTGCTTTGAAGCTTCTAAGTGAAATTAGAAATTGGATCACTTAATTTTAATGTCATTATTATTTACCTCACAATATATGTCTGATAAAAGTGGTGTTGGCAATAAATGTAGATGTTGCATACTATTTAGCTTTTTCACTGTCAAGTCCATTTGTTGCACGAAACGTTTAAGTGCAGTTGTATACAATGTTGGTACATGCTGCAATGACATCTTTATACTTTCTGACATTCTGGATGCTTCTTTCGATATAACTTATCACTAAACACTAATCTCTATTCTGGATGTTCTGGATGTTGGACATAAACAAAGACGACGGACGATTAGAACTTTTTTTCACTTCTATTTCCGTATTGTAGTGTCTTTTATGCCTCGTTATCATCTATTTTAAGCTTTTTTTTCTTTTTATTTATCACGATAATACTAAAACTGATGAGCTGATACTTTTTCTTCGTACGAACACGAAATCGGAAGCACAAACAAAAGTGAAATTCAATGTCACCAAAAAAGTACTTTCTTCACCAAATTAATTCCTTAATTTTTCTTTTTTTCTGACTTCCTGAGTTCTATGTCAAATACGTCACTGAAATCAGTCAGCACAAGTGGCTATTTATGTGCTATAATGATGCTCTCATCATGATTTACTCTCTTTGAATTTTGTGTTAAGACTGACGAGTAAGTATTTATTATGGGTACAGGGAGTCCTCAGTTTAAAATAGTCCAGCTTGAATAGTTTGTAAATTGCATAGCTTTTTTTCCCTCAAAGTTTTTAACGACTATTATTCAAATCGAGGACTACTTTACTTTAACCGATTATTGCATGTCACTATCTCGCTCAGTTTTGCACGAAAATTTGAATTCAAAAATTTTAAAATCTTAAAAAATTGATTTTCTTAATTGTAGCACAATGAATGAGAGCAGGAAAGATAAGAGCTTATATACGCTGACGAAGAAGTTTGTGGAAATGCTTAAAACGGAAGAAACGGTGGATTTAAATATTGTAAATAAAATAATTTTGATAAGAATTTTGTCAACATTGAAGAAAACTTAATTAAACTTTCTAATCAGGTAACAAATGAACTACAGTGTGCGAAAAAGCGTCGAATCTATGATGTCTCTAATGTTTTGGAAGGTATTGGGCTAATTAAGAAGACACAGAAAAACTTGTATCAATATACTGGAAAAACCAACAAGAATGATTCGATATTGGACCATGAAAAGCTATCAAATCTAAAGAATGAAAAGGAATCACTTGAATCACTCGAGAAAGAACTAGATAAGTGAGTGTCATATGCTACAATTAAGAAATTTTTGATTATTTAAAATGTTCATGCTTTACTCATTCCCGCGCTTTTTTAATTCAATTTTTAAGGAATATCTATAATATGGAAATGAATAATGCATCTCTAAGGACACAAGATTCTTACTTATACTTAACGAGGCAGGATTTTATTAATGCATTTAGTAAAAACCGTTCAATATTACTCTTAAAAGATTACAAAAATATTCGAGTGATTGTTGAAGATCCAGAAGCAACAAATTGTTCGTCAATTCACGTCCTTGGATTTATTGTTAAGCCAGTAACATGCAAACTAGTCAACAATGAAAACTCCGATAAGCCACTACCGACAATCGAGAATCTAGACATTGATTCAATATCAAATAATAATAATGACATTGATTTTGTCGATCCAAAAATGTTTGATAGTCATAAGGAACTGAAAAAGTCAGATGATGTGATTCTATTTAAAAGAAGCATTAGACCTAAATCTTTTCTGGAAACTGATTCACTTGAATATGAGAAATTATCGGAAAATATCCTTTCGCATGATCAATACGAGGATAAAAGTAAATTCTATTATGTATGTAAAAATAATCTGGTCCATGAAAATGATTATGAGAAACCTGACTTTATTCCTCTTAATCCACCATACGATTCTGATTATCACGAAAATTTCTCAACAGAATCGCCATCAATACATGATCTTTTTGACTGTGACATAATACTGGATGAAAGTGAGCATCAGCAGCAAGTGGATATTACAGAAGAAATGCTCGAAGAAGAATATATAATAGAGGAACTAGATGAAGAGTCATACGAAATGTTGCAATAAAGAAAATTTTATATAAATTTAAATATCCTTTTTATTTTAACTTAAATTGAATCCATAAAATTTAATGGAACTTCTTTTTCTTTCCATTTTTATTGGGTCCATTCCCGACATTAATTCTCTTTCTAGCTCCATTAAATTGTTCTGTGTCATCGTCATCAAAGTTCTTAAATCTTGTTTTCGAACCTCTTTTATCTTCAATGTCTTTCAGTTCCAATTTTGCTGTTCTTTGTGCCTCTCCAACTCGTTCTTGTAAAGCCATAACTTCATCTTCTTCAGCTTCGTACTTTGCTAATTGCTTTCCTAAAAGATGCTCTATCCTTTGATATAATTCAACATCATATTGTGTAACCATTGTTATAGCTTTTCCTGATCGACCTGCTCTGGCTGTTCTTCCAACTCTGGATGTAATGAAAATTTGGAATTAGATTAAATCTCGAGTTTAAATTAATCCAGTAAGATTAAAACTTAATCTAGATGGATTTAAAATTACTTGCCAGATTAAAAATCTGGTTCTTTAATTTTCATGATTGCTTACCTGTGAATGTAATCCTTGCTGTGTGTTGGAATATCATAGTTGAGAACAACGTCTACGTGTGGAATATCAAGACCTCTGTAAATAGAATATTAATAAACATAGTACAATCAGAACTAATTTATAGTTAATTTAACTTACCTAGATGCAACATCTGTACAAATTAATATTGATCGTGCCTTTGCCTTAAACTTATTTAACGCTGCTAATCTCTTATTTTGTGACATTTGACCATGCAATGGAACTGCTTGCAATCCAAGAGCTCTAAGCATTAAAGCTACACGAACGGTTGCATGACATGTTGAACAGAATATGATGAAGCTATTTCCAGCTAGATCATTAATAATGTGCACAAGATACAGATCTTTATATCTTGATGGTAAAAATATATATGATTGTTGGAGTTTATCGACAGTTTGATATTTGCTTGATACTTCTACTTTTACTGGATCTTTAAGTGATGCTCTTTCGAGTTTTTTCACCTTTTTAGTCATTGTGGCACTGAATAAGAATGTCCGTCGCTCGCGTGGAATGACTTTAAGGATCTTATCTAATTCAACTTCAAAATCCATGTTTAAAATTCTATCAGCTTCATCCATGACTAAATATTTGATTGATTTTAAATTGAATCCCTTTGTATGAGTAAGATGATCCACAAGACGTCCTGGTGTTGCTACAATTATATGTGGCTTTTTGGCTAATTGAAGAGCTTGTGAGACCATATCCATACCTCCAACAATTACAGCACATTTGATTCCAACAGAACTGCCAAGAGCTTCAAACTGTTCACCAATTTGAAATGCCAATTCTCTTGTTGGTGTCATTATTAGCGCATAAAATCTTTGTGGATTATCAAGTAATGTTTGAATAATAGGCAATGCGAATGCTCCTGTTTTTCCACTTCCAGTTTCGGCTAAAGCAATTATGTCTCTGCCTTGTAAAGCTACTGGAATTGCTTCTTTCTGGATCTTTGTTGGTGCTTTCCATTTTAGATCTTCACATGCTTCACACAATACATCAATTAAGCCCTAATAATATAGATTAATTACGATTAGTCAAGGAATCGCCAAAAATTTATTCAAAACAATAAAAACACGTGCATGAAAAATGTCAACTTACCAAATCACTCCATTTAACGTCTGTTTCTTCTATATCATTTAATTCTCCACTTAGTTCCTTTGTTTCCTCCTTTTCTACATCACTTCCATCGATCGAAACTGCTTCCTCTTGCTCTAAATCGCTCAAATTCTCTGAATCCGAATCTGACATTTTTCTAGATTTTTGTTTCTTCAAATAAATCGGTTTTTTGAACCGTTTCAGAAATTCAAAAATTTGCTTAAAAAATCGTTAATTTTATCACACGTGTTCAGTTTTGCATGCCTTACATGTTTGGTATTTAATCAATTTGTTTAAAACAGCAATTAAAATGAAAATTTATTTGGACTATGTTAATTTTTGTCAAGATAGCAGCAATATTTAAAAGGAAAAGTACATTAAGTGCTGCTCAATAAATCTTTGGAAATGAAGAGTTTAATATTAGCAGTTGTTTTACTTTCAATCAAGTGTTCCTTAGGTCAAAATACTACAATTACAAATGTCAATTTATTTCTTGTTAAAGGCAACAGCATTTCTACAAGCTTAAATGTCTCGTGGGATAAGGTTCAACAGATTTTCACAACAGACTACGACATAACAAAGAAATCAGTCATCTTTTTATTTGGATGGATGGATAATTTAAATTCATCATGCGTCAGCACTATAATCGATGCATACAGCAAAAGTGAACAAGAACTTAACGTATTCATCCTTGATTGGAGTAAATACACAATGATGAACTATTTTAGTGCTGTTTGGAGGATCCCAGATGTTGCTCTTTATATTGTCAGCAACTTTAAGAATATGATGTCGATTGGCTATGATTTCAATACTTTTCACTTGATTGGATTCAGTCTTGGTGCTCAACTAAGTGGTTATATTGGAAGATATATGCAGAGTTTGGCTAACTTTACTCTACCGAGAATAACAGGTAGACACTTTGGGTAAAAGCTAATTTTTTGATAGCTTAATGTGCTTAATTATCAACAGGTTTAGACCCAGCTGGTCCGCTCTTTTATCCTACGTTTGTTTTCATCAACATGAAACCACTTATGGCTAATGATTCTAGGTAAGTTATATACAATGTTCAGGAACCGGCTTCAATAATTTATAAATAAGATAAGACTGTTCCAGACCCCCTTGCCATTCCTCCGTCGACATCAACAATACCTGTATATTATTTATTTAATCTTAATTTCAATTACAGATTCGTGGATGTAATTCACACAAATGCATATCAAGCTGGTGGACCGAAGCGTATTGGTCATATTGACTTCTATCCAAACGGTGGAACTTTTCAGCCAGGCTGTCCACAATTTACAATTGATGACTGTAACCATCAACGATCATGGCAATATTATGCTGAATCTGTAACTTACAAACAGAGCGATAAGAAATTTCAAGGTGTTCAATGTAATACCTTTAAATTATTCAGTAATGTGTTATGCACTGGAACGCCGATATTTAACTATATGGGTTATTATGCTAATCCAAACAACACTGGAAGTTTTTTCTTAAACACAACTGCACAGTCACCATTCTCATTGTGAACGAATTTTGAGTGTGATGAATGCTCATTACTGACCGCTGTTTTGTAGTACTTAATAAACAAATAAGAAGCATGAAGAAAAAAAAAGCTTGTAAAATCTTTTCTTTAACGTCCGTAATTCTCTATGAAATTTCACAATTATTTGGAAGATTAAGCATTTCATTGATGTTATTTAATCGGTATTCAAAACTGTATAAATATGCTTTGTCTTTTAAAACTTGCATTCATTTGAAATCCAAGTGAAGATCAAAAATGAGTTGGACTAAAGTTTTCTGTCAAATTTCTTTTGTTTTATTTTTTGCGACGCTAATTTCTGCATTCCCACAAAATCATGAAATCAAAAGTGAGGATGATTTAGTTGCAGAAGGTTCGAGTCATCATCATCATCACCATAAAATTTATGTTAAGCAACCAGTTAAGATAATTCATAAGCATCATTATAAGAAGGTTCCAGTTTATAAAATTGTTAAAGTTCCAGTTATTAAAGAAGTTAAAGTTCCATATGCTGTTAAAGTGCCAATTAAAATTCCATATCCAGTGATTGTACATGAGAAGCATGAACATAAAGAATCAAGCGGAGAGCACGAGCATCATGATGATGGCCACGTAGAGCATAAGATTGAAATAATGGAAGGATTTGGACATTTTGGAGAACATGCATTTCAACATCAAGGTACTGCATATTATGCTCTACAAAAATTTCCATTTTTTGACTAAAATTTATTTACAGATTTTGGACATTTTGAGCATTACAATTTTGGACATGATAGTCACCAGAACTTGAATTTTGGAGATTTCCATAACTTAGGTGCGCATCATCATATTCATCATATTGGAGCAGGACATCATCAGAATTTTGAAGGAAACCATTATGAAGCAGAGCATGACAATTCAGAAGGGGGCCATCATGAAGCAGAGCATCACAATTTAGAAGGTGACCATCATGAAGCAGAGCATCACAATTTAAAAGGAGGCCATCATGAAGCAGAAGAAGCAGAACACCACGAAATTGGACAACTTCATCACAAAGAACACGATGAAGTTCACGAAAATCAAGATGAAGGGATGTATCATGAAATATCCGAGCATCACGAAGAAGAAGGGCACCATAAATTAGAAGAACATGATCTGAGTGGACATCACGAATTTGGGGGTCATCATGAATTAGGAGAGCATATTGAATTGCAAGAACAGCACGATATAGGAGCACATCATGAATCAGGGGGGCATCATGAAGTTACAAAGCATCAACATAAAGAACATGAGCATAACAAACATTAAGTTGTTCCTGTATATTCTCAAAATAATCAATCATAATCTAATTTGTTTAAAATTTTCATTTATTGTTACTTGTTTTGTTAAATTAAATAGAATCTCGGGATGATTGTTGATAAATTAAGTCTTAATTTTACTTTTCACGACCCGTTATTCTTTGGGATTTTGTAAAGTATAAGAATACTTGCTCTAGAGATGTTTGTCCTAATGAATAATCAGCTATACCTAGTTTAGCTTTTGCGTCCTCCATTATACCAAATATATGGGACCATTTTAGTTGAGCTGAAGGTATGTGATAAGCTAGGATGTCTATATACTCCTCCCTAATTTAGAAATTAAAATTTTATTAGATTTTTTTCCAGTCAATGTCGTTAAATTTTATATTACTTGAGTGCGGCACCAGAGAAGGTTCGTGAAACGAAATCTTTCACAAGAAGTAATTTTCTGCTTAGAACATCAGCATTGCTATCAAAACCGGCTTTAATTGAGAGGAAGAATCCTTTTGAAAATTTGTTCTTTAAATGCTGAACTGATCCAAGGCATTTGAATTCTCCATTGACCATAATAGCTAGTCGATTACACAATACTTCGCATTCTTCCATGCTGTGACTTGTTAACACTATTGATTTTCCTGAGTTTCGTGATTTTATTACCATATTCCAAAGTTGTCGTCTTGCTCCCACGTCCATTCCTGAGGTAGGTTCATCAAGATAAATTACTGATGGATCTCCAATAAGAGTAAGAGCTGTGCTCAATTTTCTCTTATTTCCACCACTATATTCTTTTGTCTTTTTATCTAAATGCTTTATAAAATTCAAATCATCTGCTAATTGAACAGCAACGTCGTTTATATATTTTCGAGGAATGCCTCTCAAGAGAGCAAAAATTTTCAACGTTTCTCTTCCAGTCAAGTCATCAATAAGTGCATCAAATTGTGGACAATAGCCAATTCTTTTGTGAACCTTGTTAAGATATCTTCTAATACTGATTCCATCGATCCATGCATCTCCAGCTGATATATTTTCATCACCTACAAGCATTTTGAATGCTGATGTTTTTCCAGCTCCATTGACTCCGAGTAATCCAAAGCATTCTCCTCTGTGAGGTATGTATTGATTTAATAAAGAACTTAGAATTTAGTAATGACTTAAGCTTACCGTCCAACACCAATACAAAGTTGATTTACAGCCATGAAGTTCCCGTAGAACTTTGTAAAATCTTTCAATACTAAATTATCCTTGGCTGAAATATATTCTGTATATCTTTTGACTTTTTCTTTTTCAACTGCTACATCAGAGTCAACAAATCCATCTTCGGATTCGGGTATATTTCTAGGACTGGTAGATCAAATTGAGCAATTCAGTTTATATCATTTTTGTGCAATTTTAAACTATACTCACATCTTTGGTTTCCTTATCATAACAATTAAAGTTTGAATTACTCTAAATTCAATAATGAATAAGACAATAAATGATGTAATGGAAACAATGACTAATGCTATAAGCATGATTCCAATTCCATCATCACCAAGATTATAGAAATTCCTACTGCAACAATCCTTTTGTAATTGACACAAAAATGGTAATGGATTTGGCAAAGGACTCATGTCACATGGCAAATCAGTATTACACATGAGCTCATAGCTACATCCTTGTATAGTAGCACATTGTGCATCACATGTTGAAATTGTTGTTTGCATAATGTTCAAATTTGACATTCCCTTTGTTAGAGAATAATGTGGGAATATTAGGAACGTCCAGCCTAACGGATCTCCAACCCATCTGAGATCAAGCAGATCACTGATTAGCACGAAATAAACTGTATAAAAGAGTGTTCCAGAAACTATATATGTGATAGCTGTTGTTACTAATCCAGTTGTTGGCAATTTGAATGCAAATGATAAAACATAGGTAAATGGAAGTACAGCTAATCCAAAAACTAAGATTATAATAGTATTTCGAAGTAATTCATCAAATGTAGACAATCCATCTTTTTGATAAGCAGCCATTATCAAAATATACAGCATAGTTATTAGGAAGAATATAAAATAATCAAGTACGAAAGAAACAATCCAGAATAGAAATTTGTTAGCACCGCTTACAATCTGAATCAGTTTAGCTTTTGAAATTCTTTCTTTGATATAAAACATGATAAAGACTGAAGCAACAAGCGCCATGGAAAATCCAGTATTTAAAGCTATATTAAATCCAAGATTATTTCCAGCTTGCAGTTGAACGAGCTAATATAAAAATAATTAATTATTATTATTCTTATCTATAATGTAGCTGATAAGGTAGTTAAAATCTTTATCAACTTACTCGAGTTCCAAGTGTGAAAGGTAATGGTTTGTTTGTTACGCTGATTGATTTTGGAATACTTGACACAGACCTGTTTAAGCATATAAATTGATTTTTAAATTTTGACTTAAAATAATTCCGAGATAAGATTAGATAACATACTTTAATATAGCATTGTTGATTAAATTAATTGTCAGCGGCACGGTATGATATGCTTGATTATTGAACCAGACGGTAATGACACTTTCGTTAAATGTTGTACCAACCATATAATTCAAATTAACATTTGATAGTGACTGTCGATATTCTGTTAAAATTTTGTCACTAAATGACATTCCTGGTTCAACTTCAATCAATTGATGATTCTCAGGAAGATTTTGGAAGAAACTTTTGTAGCCTGTGATTATATTTGAAATCATACCGTCTCCAGCATGTTGCGACTCATAAACAGTAAATGTTCGAATGTATTCTAAGAAGGATATAGGCAAGGCAGGAAGATCTTGTGCTCCTTGGAATAAATCTTCCATTAACATTGTGATGACCAAAAATAAAATTGGTATGAAAAATTGTATGAAGAGCATTACGTAGTTTCTTATCGTATAGAAAAACTTTTTCATAGTCATCGCCAAGATATGATTAATAAAAAGTTCAAATCCATATGTGAGGTTTGAGTTCGCTAATTTTACTATAGAAAAAAAATTATATTACTTTAAATAACTAGCAAATTTAGATTTCATAGGATTTACATGTTTCTTCTGATCCATTTGTATTTGAGTCAGCACTGCCCTCATTTGATATCCCTTCGTATCTATCTTCAACATCCATTGCTGTTGAATCGATTCCAACTTTCAAGAATACTTCTTCCAGTGTCGTTAATGATAATCCAAAACTTGCAATTTTCAACTTCTCAAGATTATCTTCCAAGTCCTTGAAAATAATTTTAAACTTTGATACGTAGTTATCGCTAACAACGTATGATAGCTCGGTTCCAATGTTAGTTTCAATTTCAATTTCTGGAATGTATTTTGATAAGAAATGCGTGACAAGTTGTGGATTACAAGTAGATGTTTTCACACAAGTAAGACGATATCCAACACCAAATCGTTTTTTGAGGAAGAATGAAGATCCGACAGTTTTAAGGTCACCGTCTGCCATTATAGCTATTCTGTCTCCCAAGACATCTGCTTCGTCCATGAAATGTGTTGTCAATAAAATTGTTCTTCCTTTCTTTTCTTGAATCAATATGTCCCATAAAGCCCTACGAGCACTTGGATCCATTCCTGATTAAAATAACATAGTTGATTGCATGAAATAAAAGTAAAATTATTTGTTCCTTACCAGAACTTGGCTCATCACACATGACAATTTTTGAATCACCACACAATGCAATTCCAATGCTTAATTTTCTCTTCATACCACCAGATAGTGTTTTACTTTGAGCATTCATTTTCCCTCCAAGTCCTAATAAGTTGACATATTTTTCGATTTCTACTTCAATTTCCTTACTTCCTTTGATACCCTTTAGTTTTGTGAAAAATACAATATGCTCTCTTACTGACAATTCGTTAAAAAGTACATTATGTTGTGGACATAGACCAAGTGAATTTCGAATAGTATTTAAATCATTTCGGATATCATGGCCATTAATAAATGCAGTTCCAGAGGTTGGTGGAAATAAACCAGTTAACATAGACATAGTTGTTGATTTTCCAGCTCCATTATGACCCAATAAAACTGTTATTTGATCCTCAAAAATGTTAAGATTTAAGTCATTTACTGCAACTTTCTTTCCATAAACTTTTCTCAATCCACGGATTTTTATTCCAGCATTCTTATCAGTTGGCTCACTTTCATAGTTTGGATTTCCTTTAACGGCATCATCAGAAACGAAAACTTCTTTAGAACTTCCATTACACCAAAATTTGGGTGATAACGGGAAGTACCATTTTTCAGGCACACCAAATTCACCAGGCTTAACTTTCTCAATGTAAAGTGCAATCAGCATTTGAAGAACTGAGGCAGTTAGTAATACAAGCATTACATATCCAAGAGTTAAGTCATCATCAGGTGTTACAGGTTCAAATAAGTTATCCCAATGAACTCCAACAAGTGCACTTTCATATCTTCCCAACACTTTAAATCCGAATCCCATTCCTGTGTTCACTAATAATGAAGCACCTAGCTTTGTAGCCAAGTTGACTCTATCATAATTGAAATTTATGATGCTGTATGGTTGAAGCATAATCAGCCAAACTATTGCACCAGCAATACTGCATGTATTAGCTTTAGCAAAGAATGTTGAGAACATGAAACTGTAAGTGACACCAGCCAAAGCATAAAGGAAGAAAAAGACCCATAATACCGACCAATTAGTATGCGTAAACACAGACAATCCTCCACTCGATGCAAATGGAATTTTGACAAGTCCAGTAACGATTGAGATAATGACAATTTGAAATGCCATACATTTTGTGAACCATGCGATCCAATGCATGTATCCTGGTAAACCCATTATTTTCATTGATTCCTTCAATTGCAATTCTCTTTCTATTGCTACATATTTAATGTTGTTAATTGCTGGATACAGAAAAGCGATCATGAAGATTAAGGGAATTGAAAATTCAAGGACTAAACCAAGCATATCATTTACATATTCAGGAAACGGAAACCTTTGAATATACATTATTGGCAAATTAAGGTCTGGGTCATTTGATGCTTGTTTAATGATTTCTCGGTCAATTAGATTTTGAATTGTTGAGAATCCTTGCTGTAAGATTGATTATGTTTTGGATATGTGTTTTTAAAAAATATTAAGTTTTGTTACTTACCCGAATGTAGCCAGGAGGTTCACCTTCATTGCCAAAAATAAAAGATTTTAATATAAAATTACAAAATATCATGATTTACTCACCTCCATCATCAGCATTCTGATTCCTTGGTCCAGGTAAAAAGTCCAGTCCAAAGCGTATGTTTGTTGCCCAATTGTTTGTAAATCCAGACATGCTATCTAATAACTCACTCTCTGTCCTTAATTCAGCAGGAAATCTCATTGCATAATGCACATTGTCAGGCAAAATTGTAGCTCCACTCAAATTTTGATCGAATTCAATACTAACGAATGGCATGGCTGTAATGGCATTCCCTTCTAAAGCTAATGCATCTGGAAAACCTTGCCAAATGAATTTCGGTTGTGTTATATTGACACCACTATTTATTTCTTGCACAACGTTTTCCATCATTACATCCAAAACAGGACTGTTTGGCGAGTATGCAATAACTCTATTTACAGACGTAAGAAGAATTCCCGGAAATCTAAATTGGTGATCGAGTTGAAGTGGGTGCCACGTCAATGGTTTTAGCTCCTCAGAAACATCCACAAGACTTCTGATGAGAATTAGAAAAGCACAAACACAGACTGGTATAAGAACTTCAAAAACTGTTTGTATTGGATGTCTAAATTGTATCAGCCAATTCTTCCATGATAAAAGCATGAACTTATCCCATGCCGTAGTCTTGGACATTCTGGGAAATTACACAAAGAAGATTAGTCACGTTTATTGATATCGATGTTCGATAAATAAAAATATTTGCTGTTTATAGATAACCTTATAAGGTTTATCATCATGTGTTACATAGATAAGTGGAATCAGAGGACTACAAGGATTTTTGTTGAATTCTAGATTATTACTCTCAAGTGGCTATTGTTGATAAAGCATTTGAGAAGCTAGACCTACAATTAAAATTGACATTGATTGAATAGCAACGTATTTCATGCATGTTTCCTGGAATTTTGTGTGGATGTAAATTGATATCCGAAATTTAAATGTACAGATGATGTTCAGATATGTAAATGGTCAAAGTCTAATCTTAATTAAAACTGACATCACTTTTCTTAAATTTTATTTTATCAGTTCTTATCATGTTCTGGTGCCAGAAAACTCATATTTGTAGCTAAATGTCCAGAAATATATAATGATTCACTTTTAATATTGATAAAACACTTAAAAGCCATTAAAGCAATGCAATTGGTCACTTTTACAATGACCACAAATTTATAATCCTCAATTTTATCACAATTGGTTTAAATTGTGCAAATCATTCAAAGTCATAGAATATTTATCGATTAGATTCCTTACTTTAATGTAAAATGTGCAGAACCACTTTTATTTATCAGGATTTATCTTATCACTCCTGTTCACTATCACAGATCCCTTTATTATTTCCACTAGAGAACTTTACAGGCCGACCGCTAACACGAAACTGATCCAAACATTTCTACACCACGTTAATTATATGAAATTGATAAGTATTGATATCGCGATATCAGTAGACTGCATGATAAGACCTGGACCTAGTCAAAACAAATTTTCAATTCATATGATTCACAACATACGTCAGATGCAGCACTTGTGTTCAACGGAGAATATATATTAAGTTTTAAGTGATCACGAGAAGTTTAATCGAATACGACTAAATCAATAATTGAAAATTAATAGCTGGTCATATGGTTTTTGGTTTAAGAGCAATACATACCGATATTACATAATTTTTTCAGCTGTTTAAAATTCAGAACATATGAAGCTTTTAAAAATTGAGCTTTCAAGCTGTACTAAATTAATCAAGGGATAATTTTCATTCGGTTGATTTATTCGAAACTTTCTGTGATCAATCAGCTTGGTAGTTATGATTTTTCTCAACCTGCAAGCCTGAACAACCGTCATTCTTGAACTTGGCTATTAGAATATTAGTAATTTTTTGTTGATGACTTTCCACTGATTTGTGATTAAATCTTACATGAGTAAACTTTATGTCCTGTAAAATCAATTTAAAACAAACACCATTTCTTACTCTTTATCTGGAATATTTATTTATCATCTTTCAATACACGATTATACTGCAATATTTGATACATTATTAAGTCCTCAACGTTCTTTCCTCTCTATGAATGAATGAATCAATTAGTTATTAAACACTCTTTGATGTCTTTTTTTAAGGTAAACTTTTTGTTATGATTATAATCGTAATGTATTTTGTTTTATATGATAAGAACATCATAAATTTGAAATATTACATGAATAAATTTATTATATTTTCATTTAACATTATAGCAGTGTCTTCACAGCTTTATCGTCCAGCAGCACACAATTATGTCAAAACAATTCCCACTGAAAATAGCTTGAGTGACACTGCATTATATTTAATAGATAACGTATGATTTTTTTTTTTCAATAAAATATACATAAATTACAAATGAAGCAAAAAGGAAATTAATAAACGGGAAAAATCATAACTTTTGTTGCCAATAAAGTGAATCGATAACAGTTAACAAATTTTTTGTTTAAAATGCTGAATGAGTTAAATGTTATGAGTCACTTTGATTGCACATAACATCCTCTATTAACATAAACATCATTAATACTAGTAATTTTTCTTGTTTACAATTCTTATGCGTAAAAGTTGATAAGTTTTGAAAGCAATGGCCCGAAGAAAACAAAAGAATATTTAAAGATGGATTATTGTTGCTGAACATAGCCCATGATATCGGAATTATATACTTCATCACACCCTTCTTGTTTCTATTTATTGAAATATTACACGATATTTAAAATATTGGAATATAGTTGTCGATTTTAGCGCGATGCTTTTGTGCTACACATTCGGCAATCCACACAATATTACGACATTCTTGTTCTTTGAGCTTTAAGTATGAATAGAATACACCGAAATGGAATTGTTGGATGAAAGCATAAACGTTAAGTTTGACCTGAATAACAAATTGATTTTTAATTTAATTTCAGTGTTAATTAAGAATCCAAAGCTAGATCTTACCTCATGTTCGAAGAATTTATCTTCCAATGTCTTATCACCAGGATTGGTTCCAGAGCCATCGAAAAGGGCAGCATACTCGGCATAATATTCAGCAACAGCCTTTACTTGTTCATAGTCATCAGCACGAGCTAAAGCAGCTAAGCCATCGGGGAACATTTTACCACAGCGTGGATACAACTTTTGACGATCATCTTTAGACAATTCAGTACCGAAAGAATTAATTGTGATGATAATGGCACGACGATCTGCTTCAAAAGCAAGAATTTCACACATCACATCAGCTGTTGTTCCGCCAAGATTTTTACAGAATTCATAGAAAGCTTCCAAGTATGCTTTATATAAAGTATTTCTGATGATTTCAATATTCATTTCGTCTAAATCTTGTTCACTGATACAGTCAACGAAAAATGGTGCCAATGGAGTATCAACTAATACGGCATTATACAATTCAGCTGGTGTTGCAGCTACATGAATTGCTTCCATTTGTTCAAAACTTCCCAATGGATGACATTTTGGAATCAATTCGGAAATTGGTCGTTGATGTAGTGTTCCAGTGATAAGAAGAATAATGTTATCAATCATGTAACTGTATGTGATGAAGTCCAAGAATGTTGAAAGTGGTTCGACTGCATGATTTCTCATATGTTGGAACTCAATTACAAGTTTTTCACGCAATTTATCGTCAATTACGGATACGGCAAGGGGCGATGGCTCATTTGCAAGGAATTGTCCATAATCAGTTCCTTGAAGATGAAGTTTTAAATCTAGAAAGAAAAATAATTATTATTGTACAATCTGGATCATGTGATAATTTAATCAATTTTCCGTATCTTTCTATTCGCATTAATATTTGATATTTTGATTCACTGGATATGCTGAATAATCAATATCAAGCAGCTCTTATGACTTGTCATATGATGATGAAAGAAGAATTGCCAGAATATTAAATTTTATTATGTTTTTCTTACCTTCCAATGTTTCGCACTGAACAAGATTCAAATAATCCGATTGCTTCAAAATTCCGCATTTAAATCCACGACATAGACCTTCCAAATATCCCGAATCGATGTTAAATAGCCACCCCGTCATTTTTACTTTAATTAATCGATTTTAAAAAGTCTAAAATCGCGATTTAAAATTTTTTGTTTCTAAATTGAAAATTTTTTAAAGGACCGATTAAAAATGATGTATCGCTAGTCATGTGACAACGTTTTCAAATTTTAAACGACCGTTATTTTTCCAACCCATTTGCAGCACATCGATGGTCTTTCAGACTTCCGTGCCAGCAAGAAGTCATTAGTTTAAAATATTTGCCTTATTAATAAAACTACTTGTTTGGGTTAGCAATATATAGATAAGATTTATTAGAAAATAAACTTTTAATGATATTAATAGACTGTGCATGCTTAATTGATGATTTTAACCCATATGCTCCTTATGAAATTTGATGAATTTGTTGCAATCATTAACTGGTTTGATGGCTGTATCGTATACATTAATGGCACCATCCATTTCAATACTATAATTAATACTTCTAAGAAGCTTCAAGTTATGAGAACATAAATTAATCACAGATGGATTCAAGTTCGAGATATAGAGAGAATTTAGATTTGGACATAATTTTATGATCCTGTCGACAGTTCTTATTGGAATTGTGCATCCAATGTGCTTAATATTGAGAATCTTTATGCAATTATTAGGTTTCAAGTTTTTTAAAGTCAGCAGAAATTCCATGTTGTCAACGAAATTGACGAAGAAACGCAATGTCAGTTTCTTCAAGTTTGACAAGTTATTCCAGACATTAAATAGTATGGATATATCATTGCATTTATCTTCCATTTCCTCGTCTTCACCTGAATCTTCATCTTCCAAGAACCATTGATACTGTGGATATTTTCGCCTTCCAATAAACTTCTGTTGAAAAAGGATCTTCAGTTCTTCGAGAGAACTTTCTTGAGATTTTAAAAAATCTTCAATGTTTTTCTTTATCATAGAATCCTTTACATCACATAAATTTAACGTGATTGATCTTAGTTTAAGTGGCACAATTTGTGTAACTTCATCTTTGAATAATTCATTGACGACATCAGCATATAGCTCCAGTTGACTCACTTGACTATTTAAAATTAGAAATTCTATGACATACTCTCTTACTGCACGTTTGTTTAATATGTCAGCAGTAATAAATCTTAAAGAAAGCGTCTTTAGTTCTTGATGATGAGACAAGAATGTCTCAAAAGTATCAACTGCAACATCCGAAAATACAAGATTTTCCAGACTTGATAATGAAAGCTTTTTGTGATCTTTTAACTTTGTTATTGCAACGTTCATGACTTTCAAGTTCTTGACATGCTGCATTTTTTCAATTATTCCAACAAATTCCTTTTGAGATGAAACTTTTTGGACATTAAAGTACACTGTGTGCCATTCGTGGTTCTTAATTAATTTAGTAGTCGTTTTAGTAATTTCGTGCTGCCTTATATTTAATGATTTATACTGCCTTTTGTCAGTAATCACAGGATCAGTGTAGAAGTTTGAGTTAATTACAACTTTCTTTCGAAATGCAGCACTTTTTCCGATGTAATCAAGCCATTCTTTAGATACTAATGATGCATTTAATAAGTCTTGGACTGGAAGATAATCCAAGATTATATCCATAATTTCGTTTATGAGATTTAACATTTTGCCGACCAATTATAATCTTTATGAAATCAAAACAATGAGTCATAAAACTTTTTGATAATTAGTACGATTTAGAAGCTTACTTACATTTAAGTATGATGAAATTACAATTGGCAATAACTGATGGCAATGAAATAATCAATATACTAAGCAAAAATGCTGCCTTTAATACTTTTGTGCGACTTAATAAATATTATTATTTCTAGACAGCTGATTTGATGTTTGCGAACCGCTTGTAAAAGAGTGGGAAAATTCAAAGTCAGGTTTGGAAATGTTTATTTGGACGAAATCTTAAACATTAAAAAGATTTTATTTCTATGCCAAATGTCAAACTAGATTTCTATACAATTCTTCTCATTCTTTGAACTTTCTTAACATGATAAAGAATAGGCCTGGTTTTTAATTTAAAGACTTGTTTTTTCGAGTCTTGATTTGCAATGAAGCTCTTCTAAGGAAAAATATTCCTTCATTGACATTAAAGTTTCAACATTTTTAGAATAAAGCTCATCAAATGATTGCAAACTGCCGCCATAGTCTGATGGCATGCAATGACGAGGAACATATTTTTCGAAAAACTCATTATAATCCAAATCTGGTGTATGGATGTGAATGACATCTGACAATTCTTTCTTCATGAATGGTTTTATTATAGCTGTAATAAAAATTTAGAGCTTGGATTAAGATGCCACAGCAACTGAACTTTTCATACTTACAAAAAAGGGTTTGAAACAAGTGAGACGCATTTAATATATGGACAGCTCTTGTTTTCAAAGGACTAGCATTTTGAATGTAATCTAGTGCTTTTTTAATTGAACTAATACGCGGACGAAAAATGTGGCCGAAACTAGAAACTTTCCAATCTGATATAAAAATTGCTCCATCTTGAGGTCCATTTGTAATCATTGCATTTTCTAGAAACAGTCTTTAAGAATTCACAATTCACAAATAAAAGCTTAAAAAATCTAAATCTACCTGCCATCATCATAAAGGTTTTAAATACACTATCAAAATTAAATTTTTTCGAATCTATGTCAACAGTTCTATAGATAAATACGAAATAATTATTTGGTGTTATGGGTAGAGCTGCCATTTGTGCAACTTTAAATGATAGTTGCAAATCTTCAGATTCTGGATCTCTATTCCAAAATAGATCTGGAGAAGTAGTCTTTATTTGATAATATTTTTCAATACGATTTACAGCTTCATCAATATTCCCATTACATCCATAAAGAAATTGAAGACACTGTAACATTATTTTTATTTTTAAATATAAATTTCATTTTTGGTAAAAAAAACTTAAAACACACCAATTTATCTTGAACAATCGGAACTACTGAAACTTTTTCCAATCTCTCTTTCATTTGATTTATCTCTTCTTGTCCAAAACTCATCCTGCTAATAACATCTTCATAATTGTAACCTTTGTCTAAAATTACTTTTATTGCTTGTCTTACTTCCGTTTGGTCCATTCTTATATGAAATATTTAAATTTCTCTTTTCAAGGACAAGAAGAATCAAGTTTTTTTTGCAAAATATTAGAAGCTGAAAGAATTGGACTAGGCGGTTTTAGAGCTGAAAACAGACTGTTTATTATTTAGCAAATGTTGCAAAAAATTTATTTGAATGGCAAAAGATAAAGATCCAGTTTGAGTTGGTTTTTTTAAGATAAACTTTATTCAAGAACATTTTGAACTTTACAAAAAAATTCTATAGAAAAATACGCTAAGAAACCAAAATAAATTTGTGTAAACTATTCCCATCCCCAAATGTCCTAATATTTTAATTTATCAATAGTATTTTTCCAATCCCAAAATAGAACATCACAATCTTGAGCATTGATCGTATGGTGTTATTTGTACAATTTCACAAAGTTCGTCTGTAAATTTGTCAAATTTTTGTTTCAAATGATCTTCTTCATATATCCAATATTTCTTCAGTAAGGCGATTTTTTCTAAATTCTGTGAATGTAAAGTTTCCATAGATTGAAGCTCACCTCCATAATCAGCTGGCAAACAATGTCGAGGAAGATGGTTCTCATAAAATTCTTCATAGTCCATATCCGATAGATGCGTATGAATGGAATTAACAAGCTCACTTCTCATAAATGGTTTTAACATAGCTTTTAAAATTTAAAAAGTTTAATTTAGTCATTTAAATCTTTATGATAATATTAAGGTTCACTTACAAATTAAAATTTGAACTAAATTTGTTGCATTTAAGATGTGAATTGCTTTCACTTTTATAGGATTTCCATTTTGAACAAAATCAAGACACTTGATTATAGAACTTATACTTGGACGCAACAGATGTCCAAAACTAGATCCAGAAAAATCGTAGACAAAAATTAATCCATCTCGAGGTCCATAAGTCATTACTGCATTCTCTGAAAGAATTAAAATCGAACTTTTTAAAAGGAAATAAAAAAATAACTTGATCAGTTGTCAGTGACAAGTTTAATATTATTGCTTACCTCCCATCATCGCGAATAGCTTAAAAAGATCATCATAATAATAATTTTGGGGATCCGTATCAACCAATCGAAGGAGTATTACGTAACAATTGTCAGGAGAAATAGGCAATGTAGTCATTTGATGTACTTTCGAGGCAAATTCTAGTTCTGGTAATTCTAAATTCCGAGCCCAAAAAAACTCTGGCGATGTAACTTTCAATTCATAGTATTTTTCAATACACTTTGCTGCTGCATTTACATCACATTTGTTTCCTTTTAGAAACACAATAAGCTGGAAATTGTTAAACATTTTCATTTTAGTGTTCTGTTTCTGAATTTAAGCTTAAGACAAATTATTCTTTTTGGATCAACTCACAAGCTTATCATAGATTAATTTAGGCACATGTGGGGCATTAGCAACAATTTCCCTAAGCTTTACAACATCATTGTGATCAATATTTTCTCTTTTTAATGATTCTTCATAGTCAAATGCTTCATCCAAAACTGTTTTAATAATTTCAATGGCTTCTTCTAGTTCCATCTTTTTTTTTTAATGTCAAATAGTGAAAATCTACACTCTTTAAACTATTTCAGAATAGCATCCGATCGTGTACAGAACTGAAATAGAACTGACATTATTTAAAACATTCTTATTATTTTCTAATGTCAAAAATGCATATAAAATATTTAAGCTATTAAATGTTAGACAAGTTTGATTCTTTTTGAATTCTTTCATTGATGCTTATTTATTCTTTAGGGATCCGCCTGTGTGAATCACAATATTTCTTCAGTATGTTGATGATTTGCACACTTATCACATTTGTATTTTAATGGGCTAGGCGAGGAAAATGTTATGTTAACTGATTTGTTAAGTTTTTATAAATTTTATTAAGCTCCTTTATTTACAAAACTTAAAAATGTCAAACCACCGTTCTGTAGATATTTGATGACAACATTGCATCTTTGAACTTTCTTATGATATTTTAGAATAGCAGATTTAAAGACTTGATTTTTCTATTACTGATTTGCAATGTAGCTCTTCTAAGTAATAATATTCCTTCATTGACATTAACGTTTCAACATTTTTAGAATGAAGCTCATCAAATGATTGCAAACTGCCGCCATAGTCTGATGGCATGCAATGACGAGGAACATATTTTTCAAAAAACTCATTATAATCCAAATCTGGTGTATGGATGTGAATAACATCTGACAATTCTTTCTTCATGAATGGTTTTATTATAGCTGTTACAAAAGGAAAGACATTGATTAAGAATTATAGTTATTAAACTTTTAATCCTTACAAAAAAGCGTCTGGAACAAATGAGAGGAATTCAATATGTGGACAGCTCTTGTTTTTAAAGGGCTTGCATTTTGAACATAATCCAAAGCTTTCATAATTGAACCAATACTTGGACGAAAAATATGACCAAAACTAGTTCCCTTCCAGTCAGAAATCAATATTGATCCATCTCGGGGCCCGTGAGTGACTAACGCATTTTCTAGAAGTATTTTTAAATTCAGCATATATGTTATAATCTTTGTAGTTCTATAACAACACAACATTTTAAACAAATCTCATTAACAAATCACTATAGAAACAGCTACACAATACAAAATAAAAACCAGTATTTTGAGCAGCTGATCTAAATAATAAGAACTCGAAAGGTTTAAAATGAAAGAAACTCAATTTACCTGCCATCATCATAAAGGTTTTAAAAGCATCATCAAAGTGGAAATTTTTGGAATTGGAATCAATAGATCGTTGAATAAAGACAAAATAATTGTTTGGAGTAATTGGCAGTGATGCCATTTGTTGTACTTTAAATGAACGCTGTAGAGCTTTCGATTCTGGATTTCGGTTCCAAAAGAACTCTGGAGAGCTGGTTTTTATTTGATAATATCTTTCAATGCGCTTTGCTGCATCATCAATATTTCCACTGCATCCATTAAGGAAAAATAGGCACTGGAACAATACTTCTATTTTATATGAATTTTTATTGGAATTAAAACTTAACACACCAATTTATCATGAACGATTGGAACAATTGAAACTTTTTCTAATTGCTGTTTTAATTGCATCACATCTTCATGCTGAATGCTGACACTTTTAAGTGATTCTTCGTAATTGAATCCTTTATCTAAGAATACTTTTATTCCTTTTCTAATTTCTACTTGATCCATTTCTATTTTTCTAATGATTTATCTACTCAAGGCCACAAAATCAAGTCTGTTTGGGAATTAAACGGTGTGAACTGGAAAAATACGTCTGGTTGGGTTAAAAACTAAGATTCAACTGTTTCATTTTGACAAATGTTTACTCGCAGATTTCTAAGCATGAAGTTAAATGTATGGTTTTTACTAGAGTTAAACTTATTTCACATGGAGCAGGCACTGCCTATAATATACATGTTTAAAATTGTGTAACTTTTAATTTTCTATGTCATATCTACTATGTCTAAAGTTACTACTTGACGTCTTAATTATTAAAAGATATTTTGCTGTCTTTCAGAAGTTCATCAGCATATTGATCAAATTCTTGCTTGCTGTAAAGCTCTTCTAAATAAAAATATTCTTTGTATGATAAGAGTGTCTCTACGTTTTTCGAATGCAAGATTTTTAATGGCTGCAATTCACCACCATAGTCAGCCGGCATGCAATGTCGTGGAACGTGTTTTTCGAAAAATTCTTCATAATTCAAATTCGATGGATGTATGTGGATAATATCATACAGCTCTTTTTTCATAAATGGCCTTATTATTGCTGTCAAAGAGAAATTGAATTAAGTTTAGATTGAAACTGGTTATGTTTGCTACATTAGTAATTTGCGACAATTTCAATCTTGCAATCTCATGTGATATTTTTAAACATTGTTACTTACAAAACAAAACCTGAATAAGGTAAGAAGAATTCAAAATATGTACAGCTTTTATTTCCATAGGAATTGCATTTTGAACGAAATCTAAGCCTTTTCTAATTGAGCTAATACTCGCACGAAACAAGTGTCCAAATTTTGCGCCTGTCCAATCTGATATGAAAATTGAACCATTTCGTGGTCCATTGGTGAAAATTGCAATTTCTGAAGAATGAAAATACATTAATTGATTCTTGTCTGATGCCACAAAACGAGCCGGTTATTTAAATATCAGCAAAGGTATTTCCCAATAATATTTTATTTTATGAGGCATCAAAAAGCGATTCACAAAAAATCTTAAACATTTGATGATGCACGCAACAGCAAACTTACCAGCCATCATCATAAACATTTTAAAAACATCATCATAATGATATTTATGAGGATCAGTATCTGCTGTGCGATGAATGAAAACAACGCAATTGTCAGGAGATATTGGCAGTGTAGCCATTTGTTGAATTTGGAATGAAAATTGTAATTCCTTTGATTCTGGATCTCTATTCCAGAAAAGTTCAGGAGATGAATTTTTGATATTGTAATAGCTTTCGATGCGCTTTGCTGCTGCTTCAATGTCTCCCTCGCATCCATTTAAGAATATCAGTAGCTGAATTAATAAAGGAATTTAAAAAATCAAAAATTTTAAGTGTCCAGATAAGATTCAAAAAGACGGAAACTTACAATCTTATCGTGAATCAGTAATGGTACATGAGGAAAGCTTACGAGTTTCTGTCGTAATCTCACAACATCATTGTGATCAATATTTTGTCTTTTTATTGCTTCTTCGTAATTGTAAGCTTTTTCGAAGTAATATTTGAATTTATTTCTTATTTCCTTTATGTCCATTTTCACTATAACTGATTCTTTTGTTATATTGCGTACTGTTTTTTGTTGAGGAACAAGAAAAACGCGTCTGATTTGAAACCAAACTTTATACAAAATGAACAATACGCTCAAAAACTTCTATTAACAGGTTTTTGTCTCAAAAACTAGCAACTGTAAATTTTTAAATTAAATTTATTATCAAAATCAAGGAAATAAAAAGCAATCCTAGAATAAAAATGAAGTTTGGAAGTGCCGAGTTTTGATTAGAAACAATTCAAAGTTAAACTTAGATTCTACCAATTATGGTATTTTATTGCAGCTTTAAACTGTTATTTTAAATATGCATTAATTTTTTATTAGCTAACCATGCATGTCAAACTAGCATGTTGGAAATCCACAAATGATTTTTCATGAGTATCCTTTAAATTGTCAATACAAGCTGCAAACCGATCTTTACTTTTATTCAAAATTTCTGTTGCTTCATCTAATTCATTATTTAGGTATTCGTCATCTTCTTTGATTGATGTTGATGATAAGTTTGTGGTTATCTGAAATTGGAAAATATATTTAAACTTTAAAAACTTAAGTTTTTAAAAATGTATCTTAACCTCATTTATGCACTCTTTTGTGACTCCCAAAATTTTACTTCCTCCGGTAACAGAACATTTGCATAATCTATCAAATGCTCCCTGAATATTCAGTGTAACGTCTTCAACAATGAATGTCATTAAGCTTTCAATTTGTAATGATAAAGTTCTTTCATCATTGACACATTTTGTAAAGTCTGCTTCAGTTTTAGCGATTAAAGAGACTGCTTGCTGTTGTAACTCACTGGGCTGATCAAAACAGTTTTTAAAATTAGTTCCACCATTTTCAATGATTAGATGACTAAGGAATAATTTTAGTTCATCTGTGACAGCTAACATGAATTCCTTACTATCTTCAGTAGTATTGTAAAGTCCATCATAATAGCTTTGTAGTCGTTTAGAAAATTCTATTTGAAATTGCCAAAGCATGTCACTAGTCTGCGATCCAAAATCATCAAGTATTTTTTGCTGACCTTGGAGGTTGTTCAAAAAGTCTTGAGATGTTGTGTTTGAAAAAACTGCATGTGATGCTTGTGAATAGTTTCCATATGATTGAATAATTTTATCAATATTCTGTCGAATGTGGTCATTGAACTGAAGTTTTGCTGATTTTATTTCAAGATTTAATGAATATTTAAGCAATGAAACTGTTGATTGTTCCGTATTTCCTGATTCCATAATTTTTGCTGTAACTGATTCAAGAGTTTGAAGAATAGACAGAACACCTAAAATCACAGAAGTCGTTTGCTTGCTTGCAATCGATATTTCTTGGAATGCAACTAATGTATCTGCTGTAGCTTGATCATCAATTTCTCCATCTAGAATTTCAACTGATATATCAGAACCAGAGTCTAATATTGAATCAAAATTTGAATAAAGGATCTCCAACGCAATTCTGATATTTTTCAACTGTTCTGAATATTTCGATATTAATATATCCATAACATTTTCTAAATTGCTTCCAAAAATCATTCCAAAATTTTTTGATGCCACAGCAATTTGTGTTGTTGCTGATTCCATAAGTTGTGCACTATATTGAAGTAATGTTATAACTTTCAACGGATTTGATATTGGTGGTTCATTAATGAAGTCTGAATATTGCTGCAGAAATATGTATAAGCCATTGAAGAAAAATCTAAGGTCCATAACACTTTGAGTTAATGAATTGTATTCCTTGCTATTAAATCTTGTTGATATTTTTAAAATTTGCTCTAGCTTTGGAGTCAAGCCAACTAAACTTGATGACGCTTTTATACATTCTGATGACACTCTGGCAAATGTTGGATAAACTATGTTGAAGCCAAAGAAAGGTTCTGTAGGCTGTGAAATTTTTATGTATTTTTAAAATAAAGTTTGAAACTTTAAATTATATTCAAAATTACATTACAAAAAACCAAAATCACAAGACCAATGATTAGCTTCATTTTAATAAATTTTTAAGACTCAGTCAAACACCTTCTATTCCTTTGAATTCTGCAAACTGACTAAATACAGTTCTACAGATAGAACTATTTATATTTTATCAATTTTAAATTCTTTCTTATTCCCTAGCAGTCGTAATCATGAATTTATTCATAATATGTATAAATTTATTTAGGCAAAAAACATGTGAAATATGTTTATTGAATCACATTTAAGTCGATGACTCTTCTGCGATATTTATGAAAGTGAAAATGAAAGAAAGAAAAATAATAATGTAAAAAAAATGGATATTTTATCTTGGAAATAATTTTGCTGTTTTGGTATACAAAACGTATTTTGTATCATCAAATAAATGTTTACTGTTAAGTCAAATACTTTTATTAATCATGGTTCTTGAAACTTATTTTTAAAACAATTTATTTATGATTGTAAAATTCATCAAATCGTTGTTTAAAGTGATGTTCTTCTAATTGAAAATATTCCTTATGTTTTACAAGATTTTCAATGTTTCTGGCATGCAAGACTTCTATAAGCGGTAGTTCTCCACCATAATCAGCCGGCATGCAATGTCTTGGAATATGTTTCTCAAAAAATTCTTCAAAATTGAGATTTGATGGATGAACATGAACGATATCGATGAATTCTTGGCTCATGAATGGTTTACATATAGCTAAAGTAAATGAAAATTATATTAATGAAATGTAGGATCAGATTTAAATCGACTTACTGTGCAGAATTTGAACCAAATAAGAAGAATTCAGTATGTGAATTGCTTTCATTTTGACAGGACTTGCATTTAAAATAAAATCAAAACTTTTCCTTATCGAACTTATGCTTGCACGAAACAGATGACCAAATCTAATTCCAGTCCAGTCTGATATGAAGATTGAACCTTCTCTAGGTCCATTCGTAAATATTGCGTGCTCTGGAGAAAATCAAATTTAATATTATGTCATATGCTAATCAAATTTGCAGACAATAAGCCAGTTTTGAAAAATATTGTAAAATAATCCGGATTTATTTTCATGAATAATAAATTAATTGATAAAAAATTCGCGAGTCAGTAAATTTTGAAAACCGGATTTTAAAAAAAAAGATAATGTTTTGAACTCAGCACAAATAATTTCTTACCTGCCATCATCATAAACATCTTAAAAACATCATCGTAATAATAATTCTGTGGATTTAGATCAGCAACTCGATGTACAAAAGCATAACAATTATTTGGAGTTATTGGCAATGGAGACATTTGCTGCACTTTGAATGAAAATTGTAAAGCACTTGATTCTGGATTTCTATCCCAAAAGAGCTCAGGTGAGGTGATTTTAATTTCAAAATAATTCTCGATATGCTTTTCAGCCTCGTCAAAATTCCCTTTGCATCCATTTAAGAATAATATGAGCTAAAATTATATTTTAATGAAGTTTTGGTTATTCAATTTTAAGTTTAAGTTAATAAAAATCAACTTACATGCTTATCGTGTATAAATTTAGGAACTTTTGATTTATCTGCTATTCTTTGTCTCAACTTTATCACATCATTATGATCAAGTTTTTGTCTTTCCAATGCTTCTTTATAATCAAAGGCATTTTCTAAATGAATCTCAAACCTTTTCTTCAATTCAATTGTCTCCATGACTTTACAACTCTTTCAATATTAAATATGAAATCAACTAAACCTTGTTTTATATAAAAATGCTTTTTAACTTTGAAAAAATAATCGTAAACTACAGCTGATCTCGCCGCAAACTATTGACAAAATGATATAAATATCAAATCTGAAATCGGGTATTCAAATGAAATTAAAGATGCAATTGGGGAAGTGGAGACTTCCAAAATTTATTCAGCTTTGTTGCCAATAAAAGTTGCCAAACAACTAATGCTTGATGATGATTCGCAAAAATAAAATCTTGCACACTAGTTTAGATATTTATACAACCAAAAAGTTATACGTCTTAGCTGTAATTAAGTCACGAACTTGTTCAATTTATTTCTCATTCATTAATTGTTGAAATTGAACCATAGTCACAAAATAAATTATTTCTGTAGAAACAACCTTAAAAAAATAAAAATAAAAAATTAAAAATCTTAGAAAAAATCAAAATATTCAATAAATGTCTTACAATTTTTGTGACATCCCAGTCAAAATTAAAAAAGCCACATCCAAGTTTTACAACATCTGTGTCAATATCCAAAAGTTCGATTCGTTCGACTTTATTATATAGTTTGCAGCAAAGTTTGTGAATCGACTTAACCTGAAATTTGTTCCAATTTTCAATTAAGCTAATTGCTTGGCTATTATATTAAAGGAACTCAAACCATCATATTTGCTCGATGCCCCAAAAAACTGATTTGAATAATTTTATACTGGACATGCAAAGCACTGATTATATACGTCAATATAGGACCATCATCAATAAACGTTTCCTCGACATTTGTAAGTTTTTGAGCAATCATGAACATTAATGAAACACTAATAAGCATTAAATGTGTAGTAAGAATTAAAAGTTGTGGACCTATAACTTCATTGCCGGAATTAAATAAATTACTAATTTCATTTACTGAATCGACTAGTTTGTTCAAACTTTCAGAACTTTTATAAAAATTGTAACTTTTGTGGTATATTTTATTGCTAGAAAGAAATTTATTTTTATTTTTAAAATAACTCCTTGCATGGTTTTGAAAACTCACCGTATTGTAATTTCCACATTTTGTAGCTGTTGTGTTATTTTAAGAATGAAAAAGATAGAAAATTGCGATGGCACATACAATAAATTATCAAAAATAAAACCTGCGTAATTATTTCCATGTTCATAAAATCCAAATATTGCATCAATCATAAACAAAATTGGAAACAAAATATTTTTATTTTTGTTAAATGAACTTATTTCTAATAATTTTAAATTAAAAACCTCAATTTTCTTAAACATTTTGAAAATGCGCCTTTGTGAAATTAAAACAAAGAATTGTGACAAAAAATTTACAATTGGATCAAGTGCTGCATAAAAAAAAATAACACTGCTTAAAACTGTTTTATTTACTAAGATTTCGATTTTTATTTCAAGCAATCTTTCATAATAATAAAGAGAACTTAAAAATATATTAGGGTAAATGACCTTGAAATTTGCGCATTTTCACACATGAAATTTTCATTTGCTTCAATCTCTTCGGAGGATTGTAACTGAGTCCAACTAATGGTCTTGAAATGCAGGGAATCAAAGATATTTTCTTCTTTATATGTGTAAAGGAAGCTCTGCTGCGTCAATGCAGAGAAATTTGACTTTTTAAGTTGAACTTTGAAATTTGCGCAGAAAACTTTGAAATTTGCGCAAAAAAATCTTAAAATTTGCGCACTTTTTCAGTGGCAATCTTTGACATATTTTAAAGAAAAATGTGTAAACAAACATTTTTCTTTACATTAATTTGGTGCATCAACTCTAAATTCAAGCAAAAAATGGAGCCATGGATTTAAATTTTTAAGAACTTTTTGATCAAGAATTTCTACAAGAAAGAATGTTTTATTTTGTGGTTGGTGTATATGTGGCTAGCTCGTTCATATTCATGTCAAGAAGAGACATCAAGAAAAACATGTCTTGAAAATTTATTTCAAGCCCTGACAAGAACAGTTCAAAACTCACATATCAAATATCAAACAAATGTCAATTTTAAAGCACTTCTAAATGTCAGGATTTATTTATAACATATCAAATAAACAAAAAATATTTTAAGCATTAAACATATTTTTGTCTCCATTCTTTATTAACTGATGACTTTCCATACTTAAACAGGACCTTCATGGATGTTTCCTTGAAGTGCTCAAATTTGATCATTTTTGACGGTTTTCTTGACTTTTGCTGGCGTTTTTATTGAAATAAATATTTAGAAATCATTTGCATAATTTTTGTCCTATGTCCTCATATCCATTTCATCAACAATCCTTCTAAAATCCTCATTTTTGGATTTAAATATTAATTAATGTTGACAAAATTTTCTGTCGATTTCTACGATACAAAGTGCGCAAATTTCAAAATTTTCAGAAAATTTTGCGCAAAATTCAAGGTTCAAAAATGGGAACTTTTAAAATGGAATTTTAAAGCAGTTCTACTCATCCTTTTGAATTTGCACCATCAAAATAATTTGAAGCAACGTCAGATCTTCATTTTTTGGTACCAAAACCCCAACTAAATCTATCACATACATCCCAAAATCAAATTTTTAACAAATATTTTTTTTGTATGGGTTTTTTCGGGTGCAAATTATTGAGCTTCCTAATGGTTTAATATCACTAAAAATGATGCAAAAACATCTGCGCTGGTGTTCTACAAACATTTCCCATTGATCGTCTGAACAGAAGTGACATTTTTACATATAATTTTAAAATTTTCGTTTTCATACGAGTGCGCAAATTTCAAGGTTGCGCAAATTTCAAAGTCATTTACCCTAATTGAAAATAATATCAATCCTAGTTTTGAAATTTTAAAAGTTTTTTGTGGATATTCAAAAAGAATTAACCCTGACGTTCTAAAAATGCCAGTAAAAATTTTAACGACAATTGAGTTTGATATTTTTTGATCCATTTTATTTCCGTTCACTTTTTTAAATGAATTTCATGTTTATTTTTATGTTTAATGATCTAAATTACGGAAATGAATTTTTAACAAATGGATATAAATTAATTTACATAATCAATTTAAAATATTAATAACGATTTGAAGCTTTTTACTTACCTAATGTCATATTATGTGTTTGAGTGCTGTTGCGTACAGAGGTGATATGATTCAAGTTTAATAATCCAGCTTCAAATTAGCTTAAATTATTTAATTCATTTATCATTCGTCAATTGCTGGAACTGAACCATAGTTACAAAATAAATTATTTCTGTAGAAACAACCTGAGCGAAAGAGTTTAAAGCAATTAATTTTAAGAGGTAGAATAAAAGTTTTAAATATTCTCACAATCTTTGCAACATCCCAGTCAAAATTAAAAAATCCACATCCAATTTTAACAATCTCCGTGTCAATATGCAAAAGCTCGATTTTTCTAATTTTATTGTAGAGTTTGCAGCAGAGCTTGTGGATTGATTTTACCTGAATAATAGAAACGAATTTTTAAAAAGGCTGGGTTCTTGGTTTCTATATTGTAAGTTTTCAAACCGTCATATGTGATTGATGTCCAAAAAAACTGATTTGAAGAATTTTGAACTGAACATGGATGGTACTGACTATATACATCGAAATAGGACTATCATTATTAAAAATTTTTTCATCAGTAGTAATTTTGTGTGACACAATGAACATTAATGAAACTCCGATCAATATGACTTGGGTAATAAGGATGAGAAGTTGAGGAGCTAATACATTATTGGCATTTTCAAATAGGTTGTTGATTTCATTGACTGCTTCAACTAAACTGTCAACGTTTATTGAGTTCTTTTGTAGGATGATATTGTTTTGGTTTACTTCATTTCTTAAAAAAAGAAAAGTATTGATATTCGTTGTTCCTTAATTCCTAATTTACAAACTTACCTTAAAACATCCTCTAAAGATTGTAGTCTTTTTATTATTAGAAGTATTATAAGAATTGAAAAATGCATTGGCATGTATAATAAAGTTTCACAAATCAATCCAATTTCCCACCCTCCATATTCATACAATGTAAGCAATACATCAATTAAAAATGAAATTGGAAACCAAATGTGCTTGTCCAAAATAAAAGAACTAATTTGCAAAAGCTTGTAATTAAAGACCTTGATGTTTTTAAAAATATTGAAAATATGTTTTTGAGAAAAAAATAAAATTGAAAGTGACAAAAGTTTCACAGTTGGATCAAGTGCTGCAAAGAAAAAAATCACACTACTTAATACTTTTGTATTGACTAGATTTTCTTCTTTGAACTGGACAAATCTATCATAATAATACAAAGAACTAAGTATGATATTTAATAATATCAAAATCAATCCAATTTTTGATATTTTGAAACTTTTGAGTGGATATTCAAAAATTATTAAGCCGCAAAACTTAAAAACTCCTATAAAAATTATGACAACTCTTGAATTTGATATTCTTTGATCCATTATTTCTCAGCATTAACTGTTATATTTTAATTTAATCCAAATTTATAATTGGAATTTAATTGTTGCTGTATTATTGAGTAATTGAATTAGTGGCATTTTCATCTATTATTTAGATGAATTAATTTAGATTAAGTTCAATTTACAGAAATCGAAAAAAAATTAAAGTCTAAGCTCATTTTTATTCGAGATTATGCTCTATAAGTTCTTAGTTCATCATTTGCTGAAACTGGACCATTGTAACAAAATACAAAATTTCTAAAGGAAAAATCTGAAAGAGAAACAAAAATTAAATTTATATTTAATAATAAACTTATTTTTACCAATTTCGCAATATCCCAATCAAAATTTAAGAACAGATATCCAAGTTTTACAACTTCAGTATCAACATCCAAAAGCTCACGTTTCTCGAGACGATTAAAAAGCTTGCTGCATAATTTATGAATTGATTTTACCTACAATTTAATTATATTGATTATCAAACTATCATTTATGCTTATTAATCTCACTTTAATATCCACTCTATATCCAATAAAACTAATTTGAAGAATTTTATATTGAACGTGTAAAACACTGGCAATATAGACTGATGGTGGAGCATCACTTTCAAATATATCGACATTAGAACTTATTTTGTGAGCTATCATGAAAGATAGGGAAACTCCAACCATTAGATAATTTGAAATGATTACAAGAAGTTGTGGTCCAAAAACATTATTAATATTTTTGAATAAAATATTTATATCATTAATTGTATCCAATAAATCGTCACAATTTGAAAATATTTGATTTTCAGGATTGAAAGTTTCAGATCCTTTCCTTAAAAAATTAAGTATGAGATGATTTAAAATAACAAAAACATATGGACTTACTTTATTAAATTCTCTAAAGCTTCTAGTCGTAGTGTTACAACAAGCACTATAAAAATATAAAAAAAGATTGGACTATATAGTATAAAGTCAACAAAAGAGTCTAAAAAATCTCCTTCTAAAGTGTAAAATGTAGCTGATGCATCAAATAAAATCAGAATTATAAACATTACAGGATTATCGTTAACATTACAGCAAAGCTTATGTATTTTTGTGTTAAAAGACTCGATACTCTTAAATAAATTATAAATATGTTTTTGTGAAATCAAAGTGTAAGATAAGTATATGAATTTAACAAAAGGATCATATAATGCATAAAATATAATTAATCCATGTATGATTTCAGAATTTTTTAACATATACTCTTTAAATTCTATGTATCTATCGTAATAAAACCAAATATGAAAAAAACAATTAACAAAAAATAAAAATAATAAAATTTTAGAAATTTTAAATTTGTTTGAAGGATAGGTGAAAAAAATTAAGCCACACAATTTAAAAAAATAAAGAAATATTTTTATAAGTTTTGAGTTTGATATTAGCGATGTATTTTCAAACATTATTGATTGATATTTGACGACACACTAATAAGCTAAAACTTAATGAGAATATATTAATTTAATTAATATTAATGAGATGGTGGTGGTAATAAAGGCTTTGTTTGCTTCACTTGTCAATTATAAATCTCTTTATTTAGATCACAATAGTAACTGACAACTAATGAATCATCACTCAAAGCGATCGTGAAGTCGATAAAACCTAATATATTAATTTTTTTATGATCCAACTTTTGGGTCCAAGAAACAAAAGATGAACAAATAATAATGTTAAATTAAAGTGTTTTAATGGTTTTAATCAAAAATATAAAATTCAAATAACAATGTCTGATGTCGTACAAACTTTATTGATTATTATTTATGTATATAAAACTAATACTTCATTTCCTAATCTAACCTCATTTATCATTCATCATCTGTTGAAACTGAACCATTGTTACAAAATAAATTATTTCTAAAGGAACAACCTAGAATATCAAATTGAACTAGGATGATTAAATTTTTATTGAAAAATCTATAAGGAGTTACCATTATCAGAATATCCCAATCAAAATTAAAAAATCCACAGCCCAATTTAGCAATTTCTGTGTCAACGTCTAACACATTTGTCTTTAAACAAATGTTGAAGAGTTTTCTGCATAATCTATGCAGAGATTTTATCTAAAAAATTCAAAACGTACTCTCAAAATGTGAATGTCATTAACGGTTAGTGTAAAGACAACCTTCCTGTTAAAAAGGTTGCACTCCACTTACCTTTTGATCAGCTTTATAACTCATAAAGCTGATCTGTGCAATTTTTAAATGAAGATGAAGTAAACAAATAAGATATGCTTCAATTGGACTGTCTTCATCAAATATATCCTCACTGGAAGTGATTTTATGAGCTAACATGAACATTGTTGAAATTCCCATCAACATAAGCTGCATTACAAAGAAGAAAATCTGTACACCAAAAGCTTTATTAATTATCGTGAATATTTCATCTATTTTATTAATGAATTTGATAAGTTCAGAAATGTTTCGATTCATGCTGCCTTGAAGTGCTGACCTAAAAATTTAAAATTATTAAATGCCTTAGTAAAAGCTGCAATAGTTTACCTTAGAATATTTTCAAGTCTTTCCATGCATTGAATAGCGATTAACACAATAAATGCATAAAAATGTGTAGGAATGTAAAACAAAATGTGAATAATACTTTCCAATAAATCATTATAAATGTACGACAAAAGCAGGGAATCTAATATTAAAACTACAAACAATACGAGAAAAGAATTTAATCGATTATTTTCCTGAATCTTAAGCTAAGAAAACTTTAAAATGTTCTCATTTAAATCCTCAATTTTATTTAAATATTTATGAATTGTTCTTTGAGACCAAATTGTTGAACAGATTGAAATAATTTTTGTAAATACTTCAGTTGTCATGTGAAAAAATATTAATCCTTGCATCACTTTTGTAGAAACCAATAAATGGTAACCATATGGTTGGAATCTTCTGTAAAAATGCCAGAAGTTAAAAAGAAAATATGTGATAGTTAAAATTATTCCAATTTTTGACATTTTAAATTTATGACATGGATAAACAAATAATATTAAACTAAAAAATTTGAAAATTAGGATTAGAATTAAACAAAATTTAGAATTTGAAATATTTCGGAACATAACTTGTAAGAACTGATTAATGAAACTTGAATCTCATAACATTAAAACTATAAATTTATTGATACGAAATTACATTAAATTTAATTAAAATGTCTAAAGCAATTTTTGAGAATCAATTAAGTTGATTAAATAATTTACTTTCCACTCAAAATTTGTCTGAACTGTGACAGTGTTACGTAGTAAATGATTTCTGTAGAAACAACCTGCATTAAAATAATTACTATATTAATTAATTTCTACATAAATGATTAAATGAACGCTACCATTTTAAATATTTCCCAATCAAATGTAATCAAACCACAACTGTATTTTGATACTTCAAGATTCACATCTAGAAACACGGAATTTTCTTCTTTTGGTGCTTTAGAATAAAGTCTTCTCATTAATCCATGAATTTCTTTTATCTTAAAATTAAATCATTTTGTAAAATTAATACTTAATAAATTGATAAATTTTAAATTATTCATGTACCTCATGATAAGTTGAATGTCCATAATATGCAATCTCATACAACACGAAATGAACGTAAAACAGAACCAGAATGATTCGAATCATAGGAAAAGCTTCTATATCAGCAGAAGTTATGAACGAAAACACCGTTATAACTCCAAAAAGCAGTAGCACTAGTACAATACAGAATAATTGAATTCCAAATGCTTTATTAACAAGTTTGATAATCTGAAGAATTATGCTCGTAATTTTTACAATAACATATTTCTTTGGTTCAAATTCCGATATCTTCATTGATCTGTAGCGCAATTAAAATGTAATTTCGCTAATTTTTCAATAATAAAACAACTTACTTTAACTTATCCTTAAATTTGATGATCATTACATGCACAAGTTTCACAATCCCTAAATAAAATTCAAGCACTACATAGTTTGTAGTGCCCGTGTAGAAAAAGTCCGTAGCAACAAAAATATTCTTCATAGAAGCAGAAATAACAATAATTCCAGTAAATTTTCCTATCCAAATGATTATAGAGATCAAAATATTTCTTTCATACAAAATTTTTATTCCAAATTTTTGGAGCTGAAAATTCACAATTGTATAAAATCATTGAAAACATTCATGTCCCATAACTTACCATAGCATCTAGTTCTTCAATCTTATTGATCAAATCAAAAATACTTTTTGCAACCACAAAATTTATCAGCATATTAATCATACGGAAAATCATTGCAGTTATAAAGATGATGACTAGAGATATCATAATTATATAAATTGAGTACTTTCTACCAATTGTATTTGAATATTCTTCTCCTCTCGTTGTTATAATTTGATAAATTTGAAACGATCCGTAACCAAGATTGACAAAAAGGAAAAAGATTCCAATCTGAGATCGCTTGAAAGTGTTTGAAGGATGCTTAAATGTAGCAAAACCAAATAACTTGGCATATGCTACATAAAAAATGAAAAAAGTTTTTAAAAAATTTTTCATTGTAGTTTTCTACACAAAGCCGCAGAGAACAATGATACTCGAAAGTTCAATTTAATGGTAATGTCTTAATTCAATATATATTGGTTAACAATATTTCACACAATTTATCATTTAGACCAGCATATCTCAGAAATTTCAATAATTGATTAAGTTATTTGATAGTTGCTTAATTTGTCTAATTAAGAGCTTATATGCAATGACTTTATTGAACTGTTTAAACAATCAAAATTACATTTTTAAGACAATTTCAACTGATAACAGTAAAAATCTTATTTGTTTAAATGCAAACTTCTGTTATCAGGTGAGGCATCTCTTAGATGATTGCTAGATTAAACTGATATACAGTCACAAAGTAAACGATTTCTGTTGAGAAAACCTGCAAAAAAAAATTTAACAAATCTCATCATTTTTAAAATGTTGGATACGACTTACAATAATAAATACATCCCAGTCAAAGTTGAAGAATCCACAACCAAGTTTCACGACTTCCGTTTCAATTTGCAAAAGTTCAATGTTTCCAAGAATGTTGAAGAGTTGAGAACATAATCTGTGAACTAATTTTGCCTGAAATCAGATTGTTGGTTATTTATGAAATATTATTTTTGGAAATGTACTCAACAATAGAAGTATAAGATAATCTTTTACCTTGATTTGATAGCAGTTTACAAACATAAGGATTAACTCATACCTTTGAATATGCTCTGTAGCTGATGAAACTAATTGTAATAGTTTTCAACTGTATGTAGAATATATAGACAAAGTACATTATGAAATGGTCATCATTCTCAAATATATCTCTTTGCAAAGCAATTTTCTGAGCAAATAAAAACATTGTTGATACTCCTCCAACCATATCAAATGATATTAATATAAGAAGTAATGATCCTAGAGCATGATTGATAGCTCTAAAAATTACATCGATTTCATTGATTCCAAGGACTAATGTTTGAATTTCTGAATTTATTAATGCTTTGTTGTTTTTTGATTCCCTTAAAAGTTAAATTATTGTTTCAAGTAAATAATTTTGAATTAAATTTCGTTACCTTAAAAAGTTTTCAATATTTTCAATATGTTGAGTAATTGTATAAACCATGAATATATAAAAATAAATAGGGGCATCAAAAAGAATATAAAACAAAGTTGCTATCAAATCCCTATGCATAATAATTTTTAAAACAATATCTGTAGCAAATATTCCGAACAAAATATAAAATTTGCTTGAAATTTTTGAATTAATTTTTTGACTTTTTATACAAAAACTTTCAACTTTTTGGAGCATTTTAAAGATTCGCTTCTGTGAGAAAAAGATTATTAACAGTGAGAACATTTTTACTACAGACTGATAAGCAATATATGATTGAAATAATCTATTCATAACTTTGGATGGCAATAATAAATGCTGAAAATATTTTATCAACATTTTAGAATAGTAAATAATATTGATTAATAAATTGAAGATATTTAAACCGAATCCGAATTTTGATATTTTGAAATTTTCACTTGGGTACACAAAGAAAATAAAGCTCCATGATTTCAGTACAATTATGACTATTTTTGAAAATTTATTATCCATTGATAGTGCAATTTGGTTTCAAACTACGTAAACCTTACTTTACTAAAGTTATGAAGTACAAATTAATTCATTAAAATCATAATTAATTATGGTTATTGATTATTTGCTATTTAATGTTTGTTGTAATTGAACCATTGCGACAAAATAAATGATTTCTGTAGAAAATACCTAGTTGAAAAATCGAAGTTTAGTTTTTTGAGGTTAGTTCAAGGTTTCAATAGACTTCTTACAATATTGAAAACATTCCAATCAAAATTGAAGAAACCACATCCTAGTTTTGCTATATCTGTATGAATATCCAAAATTTCAATTTTTCCAATTCTATTGAAACTCTTGCTGCATAATTTATGAACGATTTCAGCCTAAAATAGAAATGGTAAAGAAACCGACTCAAAAAAATTTATTTTGGATTATAATTTAAAATGATACTTCACCTTTTCGTAAGCTCTGTGGCTGATATAGCTGAAAGTCATAATTTTTATTTGAATATAAATGATACAAATGATATAAAGCATGATGAAGTCATCTTCAGAGAAGATATCTCGACGAGAAGCTACTTTTTGTGCCAACATGAACATTGTTACAAATCCTCCCATAAAATCATGGGATATGATGGTAAGCATTAGCATTCCAAATGTCTTGTTGACAGCATCAAATAAAACATCAATATCGTTGATGACTTCCACTAAAGCTTGAATTGATTCGTTTTCAGATTCTGAATTTATTATGTCATGGCTTCTAAATTAAGAATAAATTTGTAATTGCATAGATTTATTAATGACATTAGGACCACACACCCAAGATCTCTTAAAAAGTTTTTAATACCTTAATAAATTGCTGATTCCTTCGATGCTTTGAGTGATTGTTAAAACAATGAAGATATAAAAATGCTCTTGAACATCCATTAAAACATAAAAAAGAGACTCTATTTCTAATCCGTACGTTATAGTTTTTAGAAAAAAGTCGGTAAAAAATATTAAAATTAAAATGAAAAACTGATCCGAAACTTTACAATGAATTTTTTGACATTTTAAAATAAATTCTTCAACTGTTTTTAATAAGTTATAAATACGTTTTTGTGAACAAAATATTATGATAAATGAAATCAATCGCACAAATAATCCAAAAGTCATGTAAGTAAGAAATAAATTGTTCAAAACCTTTGTTGGTGCTAGTATGAGATCTAAAGCTTCGAATGATATACGAGAAAAATACCAAAGATTAATCGAAATGTTTAAGACACTAAAAATTATGCAGAATTTTGAAATCTCAAATTTTTTTGATGGATATACAAAAATAATTAAATTGCAACATTTGAAAAAAATTATAAACTTTTTAAAAGTCTTTAGACTGGAATGACCTTTAACCATTTTTTCAGGAAATTCTTTTTAGATTGTGCTGTCAAGATTCACAAAACCTTATTATTATTTCGAGGAACGCACTTAGCGTTATTAATTAATAATTCGTGGTTTTCGAAAACAAATTCATATTATTTTTGAGCACCGAAAGAATAATTAATCGTAATTAGAATTACTTTAATAAAGAATTTCCTTTTCCAGAAAAGTAGAACAGCGTAATTAAATTTTTATTTATTGAGTTTGGATTTATAAAAATATTATTTCACATTTTAGTCATGTTCTTATCAGACTCAAAATTCCCAACATCAAATATATTCTGTGGATCAAGTGCTTTCTTTATAGAATTAAAAACGTCAACTCCTATGCTTGAGACAGCTTTTGGATAATATTTCAAACTTTTCTTTCCAATTCCATGATGATGTGACAAGCATCCGCCGTGATTTAATATTACAACTCTCAATGTATCAGTCAATTCTTCAAATACTTCAAATTGATCGCGATCTTTTGTAGGTCCAATACCATAATAGAAGTAAACACAAGCTCCAGTATCGTACACTTGTGAAATTCGAATTGCGAGAACATTTAAAATCTTTCGCTTGTCCATTTCATCTTTCCAAGATTTTTCGATCGCTTTTATTAAAGACCAACATTTTTTCCAGACAATCGAAGGTTCAATGGAGTCAAATACAAAGCCTAAATCGAAAAATAAGTCTCGCAAATAACAATTTGTCATTGTTAATTGATAAGCTCGTTCGGCATATTTTGCACCAATAACAATTCCACCATGAATTGTTCCACAGCGTTTTACTTGTGATTCAATTTCATTGATTTCATCCTTTTCCCCTTCGATTAAGTAAGTTGTCATTGATATTTTTTTAATATCCAATCTATAAAGGATTTGACCACCAAAAATGTTTATCATATCAACAAACTTACCAAAAAAATTTCGATTGTGTTGAAATGCAAATCCAAACCGGTAATGAACGTTATCAATAACTCTAATTGAAGTTGGCCTGGTAGTAAGCTTGCTTACTTCATGCATGAAATTCACTCCTTTTTCAAAATTTGGAAACACCATAGTGCCATATCTTTTGCATGTTGGCTTAGGATGAACTTTAACAACAACTTTTGTAATAACACCGAGTGTTCCTTCGGATCCTAAGGCAATACAATCAAAGTCTGGACCGATACTAGCGCGAGGCACTAAAAAGTTCTTCTCTAATACTCCAACGCTAGTTACAAGCGTTATCTTCTTTACCATGTCTTCAATGTTGCCGTACTTTAATTGCTTCATTCCTGCTGATTTTGTTGCAACCCATCCACCTTTTTAAGAAAAAAACCAATTGAATTTAAATATTTTTATAGACAGAGTTGGCATCTGCCGATTTCTAATTCTGTATGCAATAGCTCATGAAACTATAGCTTTAGGAGGAACAAATTCTTACCTAGTGTAGATAATTCAATAGAATCTGGATCATGTCCAAGTGTAAGTCCATGATTTTGTAGATTATCTTCCAAATCTTTGCCCGAAATACCAGCTTCCAAACATGCCATCATGCTGATTTTATCAAACCACAAAATTCGATTCATTTGAGTTGTGTCAAGTGAAATAAAAAATCTCTCGTATTCATCTTTTAGATAATTTAAACTCATCGTGGTACTTGTGCCGCCTCCATAAGGAACTATATTTAAAATGAAATCAAATTAACCAATAAACTGTGCATTCACATCCTTACCTAAAACCGAACAGTATTTTTTAGCCAATTCAACAACCATCACAACATCTTCATGAGACTTTGGAAAAACGACAATATCGGGAACTCTTTTAAATTTTCCATACCTCAAAATGTAAAAATCTTTACTTGCTTGTCCTCTACATCGAAGAAGTCGATCATCAAAATTTAAAGAAAATTCAATTTTCGAGTTTTGCAATTCTTTGTAAAAAGTTTTATTTTCAACTCTTGGAGGATAATCCGACTCGTTATGTACAGGATTTCTTGTTGGCTTATAATTTGTGATGTCTGCATTCAATAACTCTAATAGAGAAGCTCGTGCATTCAATAAAGGCTTGTTGCACATTTCATATCTATTGGACATTTATAAAAATTATTGAAACATTTTATTCAAAAATAATAAATATTATTATTTATAAGACTACAAATATGTAAACCAGAATAAAACTTAAATAAATTGAGTTCTAACAGGTTATAATGAATTAAATTAAATTAATAAAATAAAATATATTAAATTTGATAAAGTTCCACTTTTTACAACATCTGTTTGATATTTTATCAGCTCTTTTTTTGAAAAAATATTAATATTGAAGGCTCAGATATTTATAATTTGTTAACCTAGGTGATTATGAATTTAAAGGCATGTATCAAATGAGTAAATCCTCTTTTTTCAGACCTTTTTTTAATATCTTTCACTTGGTTAACATTTGATTTTTAAAAATTATCTCACCTTCCTCCTTTTAAAACCAAAAAGTCATTTTCAAAAGTAAAATAGCAGTCTCGAAATCCCCATCCATTTTCATTTAAAACTTGTTGCCGATGTTTAGGAAAAACATTTTTTACATTAATTGGAAATTTGATAGCTTTTTTATTTTCATTATCTTTTGAGTCAGTTATGCTTTTCATGGTTTTTTGCAAGTGAACCAAATTGCAAGAAGTCACGTCTATTCTTTTCAAACTTTTAATACAGACTGAAACAGTTCGACAATGAACAAATGTTTTATTTTAAAATGCGTATTGATATCGGTATTTATGAATTATATAAAACTAATATCAAATGAAAAACAGATATTCAAGTTGAATTTTAGTACAACATATTCTTTGGTAGAGACGCGAAAAATGTCGTGGCACTGAAACTGACATTAAAAGTTGTACATTGTTGATTAGAGCAAACTCTTTAAGAAATAGAGATTCACAGTGTTAATTATTTTGTAAAGTAATCATTCGAACTATATTTTACCTATTTTGTGTCTAATAGTTCATTAAATTGTGACAATGTGACAAAATAAATTGCTTCTGTAGAAATAACCTATCCAAATTCAATTCATTAATTTAATTAAAAACGACAATTAATTAATTCATTACCATTTTCATTATTTCCCAGTCAAAACATATTAAACCACAATTTAATTTGACTGCTTCGTTGTGAATATCCAGAAATGGTAAATTTTCTTTCAATGGAGCTTTTGAATGTATTCTTCGGAGGATCCCGAAGAGATTGTTAATCTTAAATTTTAAATTTTATTTATCAATAAAATTAAGCTAGATTTTTTTGGAAAAATCTCACCTCATTTTGTGTTGCAGATCCATTGTATGAAATTTCTAATAAAACAAAGTGGACATAACACAATATACCTAATAAACGGTAAGTAGGAAAATTTGCCAGTTCAGAAGTTGTTTTAAATGCATAAACCATGATGATTCCATATAAAAGAAGAACAAAAATTATACAAAATACTTGAACACCAAAAGCTGAATTAATCGACTCAATCAAGTTGAGTATGGAGCTTGTAGTTTTTAAAGTTTTATATTTCAAATGTTGATATTCACTTGGGTCAACAATCCTTAAAAATATTATGTTATTATTATATTAAGAGTTATATATAATGCCAATTTACATCAATTTCTCTCTAAAACGGATTGTCATTTCTCGAAGGATCTTTACAGCACCTAAATAAAATTCAACAACGATGTAGTTACTAAATCCGGTGTATAAGAAATCAATAGCGACGAGCAGGCTTTGCATGGATATAGACGTATATATCAGGCCAACAAATTTAATGATCCAAATAATAATCAAAGATGAGATAAGTCTACGATATGTGATTTTAGTTCCAAAACTACGAATCTGGAATAAAAATAATTCAATGCTACAACTTTTCATTTGGTTAAACTCTTGAGTTTGAAAATTATACCAAACTTTAAAGGTTAACACCAATAAAATCAGGAAATTTCCTTACCTCATAGTCGAGATCCTCGATACTTTGGATGACATGAAGTATTCTTCGACATAACACACAATTAATTAATAAAACTAATATTCTCGCAAAATATGTCGATACTAATGTAGCAACCAATGACCAAGCAAGAATATTATCAGTTTTTTTGACAGCTGTATCCATTCCATCATCATGATAGTGAAGTACGGAATGGTAAATAGCTATGCACTGTAAAATCGAATAAATTAAACTCAAAATGAGAAAAACGAAACCTAATAATGAAAATTTCAATCTTTTTGAAGGATATTTAAATACATTAAAGCCAAGGAACTTTAATGCAGTAGTAAATAAAGTAAAATACACTCTCAACGTGCTTCTATCCATTTTATTGCTCTACTAATGTACTAATGAAGTTTTTATTGAACTTGAAATCTTAATAACTCAATAAAAACTATTATTTTGTGGTCCCTGAATAATTCATTATGCTCTTATTGATTTTTTAATCCATCGAACTTTGATAAATTAATTTTGGTGATATTCAACTAAGCAGCATATGGTTGCATAATGAATAATTTTTGATACTGATATGTTAATTTTATAGAAAAGTTACAATTATGACTGAATTTTGCCACTGTAACTTTACCGACAGTCAGATCTTTACTTTCCACTAAGGATATCTTGAAATTGTGATAATGTAACGAAATAAATTGCTTCTGTTGAAATAACCTGAATGGATTGAATAATATGACTGTAAAAATTTTAGATTTAAGAGAATATTTTACCATTTTAATAATTTCCCAATCAAAAGTCATTAAACCACAATTGAATTTGACTGTTTCTGTGTTGACGTCCAACAATATCAAATTTTCTTTGCTTGAATGTTTGGAGTAGATTCTTCGAAATACTCCGTGAAGATTGTTGATCTTTAGAAAAAAATTTATCGATATTAATAGCTTTACAGCTTTTTTAGCTTTGATTTCAATTTAATCTCTGAGGAAATATTTAATCTCATTGGGATTAAAGATCAAAAATATTTAAGATTAGAAGCTAAAAAGACTTGCACTGAATAAATAAGCATCTCCTTCCGAGTAGCACCAACAACAACAATTTATTTTACGTTGAAGTCAAGGCGCCATGAAGTGCTGTGTGACTCGCGTGTTTTTATTGGTGCTACTCAGGTTCTACACATACCTCATCATGAGTAATAGATCCATAATATGAAATTTCTAGAATTACAAGATGAAGGTAAACCAAAATTGTGACAAGGCGAGTAGTAGGAAAAATTGATTCACCAGAAGTTGATATGAAGGAATAAACCGTAAGGATTCCAAAAAGAAGCAAAACGAAAATTGTGCAAAATATTTGGACCCCAAGAGCTTTATTAATTGATTCGATCAGTTTGTGGATAAAGTTTGTGATTTTCAGAGCTTCATACTTCATAGTTTGATGATTTTCTTCATCGGAACTTCTAAAAATTAACAAAATTTTACAACATTCAATTCAAATACAATAAAAACGAGCTGATTAGTCACACACGATTGATAACTTACATTAATCTTGCTCTAAATTGGATGATCATCACAAGAAGAAGTTTGACAATTCCCATGAAAAGTTCTGTAATAATGTATGTGGTAATTCCAGTAAACAAAAAATCGATTGACATTGCAAAATTCGGGAAAAATAAGGATAGAAGGAGCATTGAAGATAGTTTCAGAGTCCAAATCATCACCATGACTGAAATGTCTTTACGATAGGAAATGTTTACTCCAAATTTTCTCAACTGAAAATAAAAGTGCACAATTTATTGCCACTAAAGTTACTCTTATCTTACCATACAATCTAGTTCCTCAACCATTAACATGACATTAATGATTCTTTTAGATAGTCCAAAATTAAATAATAAACAAATTATTCGAGAAAAAACTGTTGAAACTAAAGTAACGTTTAAGGCAAATCCAACAATTTTGTTTGTTCTCTTTACTGCATCGTCTACATCTTTATCCGTGTATGGAACAACAAAAAAAATCATGCTGAATTGTAAAATGGAATAAGAAAAGCTTAATGAGAAACAAAGTAATCCAAAAAATGAAAATTTAAAGCCACTTGAAGGATATTGTAATACACTAAAGCCAAAAAACTTTAAAAATCTATCAAGAATAGTGAAAAATGGTCTCAATGGACTCAATTGACTATTGTTGTAATCCATTTTATTGAATTATCTATCTTCAAATGAGAAATTCATTCACATAAACTAAGCAATTAAGATACAAATACAATGAGTTAATTATAGATATGTTTTTAATTATTTATAGCTTCATCGTTGATTCCTTAATTAAAGTTATTGGTTCTTAATGGTTTAACATTACGTTTTCCATGTAAATTACTAGTTCCTGTAAACAAAATTTATTAAAAAAGGAATAATAAAACTGTAGACACACTGAATTAATTTTGTGTCAATTTTGACATCTATACCCTGACAATTTCTAGTTAATAAATCCTTCCTTCCACTGCACATTGAATTTAGATCGAGTTAAAGAAGAATGATTCATCCGCAGCATCGGATTAATTTCTTATGATAATACAAGATTATGAATGAACTACTAGCCTAGAATAAATATTTTTAATCTTTATTGAGTTAAGACTTGTCGATTCACAGTTAACAGCTGATACAAAGAAAAACTAGGTTGAACATTTTATGAATGCATTTATTAATATTAACAAAGAAGAGGAAAAATCTTTTAACTTGTACGCATTTTACAACGTCAGTAAGTAAAACAAATAGCGCAGTAAGGAATATAACTTATTTATGTATGAAGAATATTAAGTTTTAAATGCAATTCAACTATACATTTTTTGTTCTGTCGTAGACCTTGGTCATTATATTGACCTTGATGATTAATAGAAATTTGCTGCATTTACATAATTTCTATTTACTGATAAGATCGTTCATAGTGCCCCAAATGATTCATCAAAACAACATATCATAATAAACATATCAAAAACTATTAACGAATCAGTCAATACAATTTAATTTATTTATGATTGAATAATTGTCTAGAGTTTCAACTCGTCTCAATTTATTGGTAACGAATCTCACAAAGAGAACTAAACAAAACAAAAATACTTTAAAAAAAACTTTTTTAAAAAAGCACGCTTTTATTTCCGATTACAGAGCACTAAAAAGGAGAAAATAATTTTTTTTGCTAAGCTCTCAAATTTGATACAAAATTTTATGACTCAAAATAAAAGCGTGGGGCGTTAAATTTAAACTGGCTCTAGATTTTCCAAAATTTATTTTAATTCAGTTTAATTATCCATTTCTTAATTCAACTTTTGTATTAAAACGAAAGACCTTTTAAAGTTTTGATCTCAAATTATTTTTTGACACAAAGGAACTAGTTAGATTTAGCAGGAGAGTAAGACTTGATTTCTAGTGCCACACAGAAAACTCTACATTAATCTCATAAAGATCAAGTCTACCGTCTCAGATTTACCATAATTTGTATGGGCTCATCATTCTCCTTAGACAAACTTTTAAACATTGAAGACCTAACGCTTATGTAAACAAACAAATTCAAGATTTAGTGATATTTATAACAGCGCCCCACGCTTTTATTTTGAGTCATAAAATTTTGTATCAAATTTGAGAGCTTAGCAAAAAAAATTATTTTCTCCTTTTTAGTGCTCTGTAATCGGAAATAAAAGCGTGCTTTTTTAAAAAAGTTTTTTTTAAA